AGGTTATGAGTTATGAGTTAAATGAGTTATTAAAACTATTATGTTTAGAAATGTGTTGAAAAAATCTTCTCTCCGTTAAACAGAAATTGGGGAAAAAGGGCTATTAATTCAGGGGGGTTAATAATTCTGACTTCAGCTGTACATTACACTTTTAAAAAATGACTAAACTATTTAAAATGAGTTGAAACAACTCAACTCTTACGTTTTTTTTTTTTTGGAACAACTTAATTGTTTTATGCTCAATCCATGTATATTGGTAAAAACCATTAAGTTAACTTAATCGATTTGTGTTGGGAAAACTTGTTGGAATTGTGGGGAACCCAGCATTTTTTCAACCCAGTGCTTTGACAGTGCTGTGGACATGTGTCTGCCTGTCTTACCTATAATTTATGGAGTAATTTAAATAAAATAAAAAATCTATCCTAATTTTCAAGCCTGTTTGAGTTTCTTTGAGAACGTTGGAAACCGGTATCTATTGGATACTACAGTATTTCTTTTCCATAGTATGGATGTCAATGGCTACTGTTTTTTTACAATTCTCCGACATTTTTGAAAATAACTTAATTTGTGTTCAACAGGAAAAAAAGAGTCTCACATATGTTTGGAACCAAGTGTGTGTGACAGTACAGATTGAGTAAATTTTCACTTTTGGATTGACCGTAACTTTAAATTATTGGAAGTTATTGGTGGATCTTGATAATCAGGCATGCTCTTTCTAGACACATTTATTTCTCTTTGCAGTATTTTAATAGCAATGAATGATGTTCATGTTTTTAAAGCTTCAAATAGCGTATCCATACATCACAAAAGTAGTGGGTTGGTGAATGCCTCTTCAATGCCAAAATAAAACACTGGCGAAAACCACAATATTTTCAATAAAATTAAAACTATGATTGTGTTTATCTGAATATCTTCTTAACAACTATATAACTCTCATTGTGCTAATCTGACAGAAGAAATGCATACACATTTAGGATGACTTGAGAGAGAAGGTTAATTGGCATAATTTATATTTCTCGCCCGTTAATATACCAACTTATTTTTTACTTTGTAAATTTGTTTCTTACTATCCGACATGGGCGCCTGGTATTTAAATGTGTCTTTTGTAAACACATTTTGGATACTGTTTGGACACAGTTTGGATACTGTTGAGACCCTTTCCTTCTGTTTGGTCATGCTCTGCATCATTCTGTGAACACTTTCAATGTGATGAACAGATGTGGATGGTAACTACAATACTGATTGTAATCTGTGTGTTTTGGTAAATGCAGTAAAGTACGAATAGCTTGTTTTGGTGGCTTTCCTCACAGCAGGGCAATAGGCAGAGGATAGGTGGTCTTTTGTGGCATTTTGAACACATTTGACCACATGACCTCTGGAAGTGGCTAATAATAGTAGCGCGATCAAAACATTTTAGACGGTTCATACCTGTATTCATTCAGCAGCTATGTTTCCATTTAAAGATGCCAATTAAACATATGCACACAAATATAGCATTTGAGAAAAATCTGTTTCTACCCAAAATCATCACTTCCTGATAAACTTGCCAAATATTAATAAGAAAAATGGGATTTGGTGTGGTAGGACAGGCCACTGTGGGCCTTTTTATTTATATAATAAATGACTTGCACCTCAGAAGAAGAAGACAAAACACAATGAGTCCATGATGGCTTTTGGAGGCATGAGACCACTCTTCGAGAGCGCATAAAAACCCTTCAGGGAAGTAATAATACCCCTTTTATAATGGACTTTGACTAAGGGCCAGGCTAAGGCAATTTTAGAATGACCAAATCAGCTTTTTTAGATATTTTACAATTTGGTATGTCCAATGGTTTGTCAATTTATGCTGTCCCATTTCTACTATTTTTGTTATCACATGATCTGTTAAAACAAAGTCACATGAGTTTTTGATGCACAAGCTGGACTTTATTCACTAAACGTGTTTCCATTGTAGTTTATGCTTACAAATACTCAGTTTTTAGTGTTCATTTAACATTTTTTGCACATTTTTGTGTTTCCAGTTTATGCAATATTCCAAAATATGCATAACAAATGGGTTGATAAAAACAAAGCTACTGTCAGCCTGACAAAAACACATCCTTATATCAGGTATAATGTGGCCAAAGTTTATCTAGCTTTTTCAGTAACTGAAATAAATATTAAAATATAGATGGTCATATGGACAACAACAAAACACTATTACAGTAACATACATTATCAAAGACTTGCTGTTTTCCACTTTCAAATACCGATTTTACTTTTATTAATTAGCTAACTAATTAGTTTTACATTAAGGAAACCTACTGTTCATTGATTTTGCTGTTGCATTTTTATAGCCACCATTCATTTTTTTTACAGTATGGTGACTTTATCTACTTCAGACAAAGGAAGCTTTGTGATTTTTGATGAAGGTGCCACTCACATACAGTATAGGCAGCTAGAAAAAGATGGTGTGGCTTTAGGCTCGCAGTGGCAGCCATGTGAGGCCATATGTCATCTCACACAACATGGTGCTATGAAGACCTTACACCCGAGAGTTGCTCATTGGAGTGTTCAGAATGTGGACTTTGTCATCTGTTCACACAAAAGCAATAAAAGTAATCCGATTCAGTCTCAGAAGCACACGAGCAAGGGTTGGTTGTATGAAACCAAGCATTTGGGCCATTTATGATGCCAGCCTGTGTTACTTCAGTAACAAATCAACAGCCTCAGATGACTGATAAAATGACTCTAAGCTCAAACAGTCCAGTGTCAGTAATACAGTTTTTTTTGTAAGTCAGCGCATTTAACACATTAAGTCGTGATTTGCGAAGAACTTTTGTGGCTGTTTTTTTTTTAATGGCTTTTCAAAAGTGGTGGGGACGGAATTGATTTTGGAAAAAAGTGGTAGAGACACAACCCAATCTGTCCCACTCACAGATTACACCAATAGCTCACACAAATAATGTGGACCATAATAGAAGTGAATAAACTGCAATAAAACATCCATTGAACTCAAACAAACGGAACCCACCTCAATAATATGTAATAATTTGGTACTCTTATATGTGCGTTTGTAACATTGTTTGCCTGATAGTCTTTTCGTTATATACAGAAATACTTTTTTATTTTGATGATTAATAAGATTCTTATTATTGGGTTGAATATATTTATAGATTAAAAGCTATATATTAAAAAAGTATTTAATAAACTATTCATAGGAATGAATCTCAAAGGGAACTTGAAGGAAATCCAAATAGGTTGTGGGATTTACTCTTGTATTTCTGCTTTAATTATAATTAAGCTGCTAGTTTCTAAATGTTATTAATTAATGACTTTAATAGAGAGGAAGTCTAATATCTCCCATTTCAAGGCTGATTTTAAAAATGTGAATCAAATTTTGAAACTCTTAAAGGACTTTCTTTCTGTCTTTCTTTCTTTCTTTCTTTCTTTCTTTCTTTCTTTCTTTCTTTCTTTCTTCTTTTTGTTATTTTACTTACATATTTTATGCTAAAACGTTTTTTATTCTATTCTAGGATTTATTATGCATTTGATAGGAAATGTTTAGCAAATCTATTTAAAAAGAGTTTAGGAGGTTAACAGGTTTTAAATAAATTAAGTTGTATTTTTTTATTAAAAAGTAATATTAAAGATTCTGATTGTATGTTGAAGTAATAGTAGTTGCTATTGGTGGGAGGATAATATTTGTTTACATCTGGATTACATCCGAAGATAATAAAATCAATGAATAGCTCTGAAGTTTGCTTAAATCTCATAATTTGATTTCAGTGTGGTTCAATTGTTGTGTGGTTAATGTTTTATGAACAATGGTTGTGAACGTGTTTAGTTGACATCCTCTGACTGGTATCTGTCCTCAGCAATGTGGCTCCACTGTGAAATGTTTTTTATGCAATAAATGTGCTGTATATGAAAATAAGATTGTTTAAATGAGATAGTGTGGGACAGTGTTAGTGGCTTCCACTTCCTTATAAACTGTAAAAACAATATGTTGCCTGCTTAAATTTTTAAGGTGATAGGTGTAATATTTTAAGGTATTAGGGTGTAATAACCCAGCAATTATTAAACAACATTTAAAGCTGTATTATACTTTAATAATAAAAAAAACTTTCCACCTTTTAACTGATTGTACTTTTTAGATTAAATTTATATTCATTTTCATTTGTCATATATTATTATTTAACATTTACTTTGGTTTCATGTCAGCTTCATTTAAATAATTGAAGAGTTCAGATGCAAAGACATCTGAATGTCATCTGAAATGTTCTCATAATATTAGAATTTTCTCAAACTCCTGTCTTGTTTCAGTAATTTTAGTTGTATGCCAAAGAAAAGGTTATTTTCGTCACATTTAACATGAACATAACTGAATATAAAAATGAGGGGCTGAGAAAAATCGTAGAAGAAAATTCCTGCTGATGGATTTTGCATTTGAACTCTTCAATTAAAGGGTTTTAAGAAACAGAAACAGCACTGTTCGGTATTTATTATCAGCCACTAATCTGTCAAACTTTAATAAACATTGTTTTATTTTTATTTTATATTCAAATCAACTCAATTTAAATGATCATTTCATCCTCACAGCAACGAAACATGTTTTTTTTTTTTTTTCAGCCAGACGTTTAATAAACCCTGTACTCCTACAGCTGGCAAAATAGTATGAAGTCAGCCAATCAGATTACAGCTTGCCAGATCCAGAAAGTGCTTCTCAGTTGTGCATGCAGTGTGTCTCAGACGGTCAGTGGGCGAACAGTGGGCAGAGTGTCTATCTATCTGCACATCTATGTATACAGTATGCTCTATGTGTTAATTTCCACATTGTGTGTTTACATGTGGTTGGACGGATCTGTAAATAAATGTCCCGCTGACCACAGCACTGGATGCACACACCCTCTGGTTCATTTGTGTTGATTGTTAGGAGCCTGTAAAGATCAGAACAGAGCTCATTTTCTCTTGTGTGTGTGTGTGTGTGTGTGTGTGTGTGTGTGTGTGTGTGTGAGCAGGAGTTTGCGGTGTTGACCAAAGAGCTGAATGTATGTCGGGAGCAGCTGCTGGAGAGAGAAGAGGAGATTGCTGAGCTCAAGGCAGAGAGGAACAACACACGGGTCAGTAACTCCATAACCATAATCTGTGCGTGTGAAACAGACATCATAACCTCTTTATATCCCTTCCCTGGTTGTTTGTTTAGGGTGGCTCTTGTTGATTAAGTGGGTCAAATGTCACATACCACATATACACTACTGCAGGGGTCTCAAACTCAATTTACCTGGGGGCCGCAGGAGGCAAAGTCTAGGTGAGGCTGGGCCGCATAAGGGATTTCACAAAAAAAGTCCTCAAATGTCATTATTAACAGTTTTAATTATTTCTTCTGAACATGAAGTGTCCTGAACATTAATAGAACATTGAGTGAAGATTATGAACAGTTCTTCTGAACATGGCATCTTTTGCCTACTCCTTGCTGCCAGAGACTTGAAAGCGCTTCTTCTCACAAATCTGAACCACATTTGGCTTTAGAGCGGAAGCAGTTGAGACCCTCAGTATGGCTTGAAGATGATCATCATTAAGTCTAGACCTGTACTTTGACTTATTGAAGTTCAAGGTGGAGAATAACTTCTCACACAGAACAAAGTGGGAACAAAGTGGGAACTCACTCAAAACTTCCATTCCCTCACCTAAAAAAAGACATATATATGTATAAATAAAACACCCCCACCCCACTCCAGTCACATCAGTCTGCACCAGTCTGTATCTACCTATAATATATATAAGATCCAGGCTGTAGCTAGGTAGGTGGCAGGCTGCAGCTAGGTAGCTAAGTGGCAGGCAGGGGCGGGAACAGCTTACCTTGGTTCTGTCCGGCGCGAGTTTCCTCCTAACACTTCCTGCCCGTCACAGCGTCTAACAGAGGGGCGGGGTGCGTGGTGACGTCACCGGCATCCCCACCCCTTTGTTTACACGGCGGGCGGGGAATGCCAGTGACCGCTGTGTACGGATAGAATCAGCGGAGCGGGGAGCGCTTTCTCTCCCCTGATTCTGTCAGTGTACAGCGGTCGGCGCGGGCCACAAAATATTGCACTGAGGGCCGCAAATGGCCCGTGGGCCGCGAGTTTGAGACCCCTGCACTACTGTATATTGTATACAGTGTATCCTGTTGTCAAATCCCAGTTGTAAAAAAACAAAAAATAACTTAACTTCTAGTTGATCAAGCGGCAGAATGTTTATTTTTCTGATGAATTATCTGTTGAACTGCATCTCAATCATTACAAATACTGACCTATAGGAACCCGCAAAGACCCAAGATTCTCATAGAAATCAGTCATGTTTGGTGAAGGAAAAATCATGGTTTGGGGTTACAAAGTCAGACCTTACTGACCTAATAAATAAAGCATGATTATATGTTATTTTGGTAAAATAAGCGTAATCTAGAGGCCTTTCGTTTAAGCCACTTCTGATGCTAAATGATCAACTAGAAGTCAGGTTATTATTTGCTGTTTCTACAACTTGGATGCGTGACAAGACTTTTGTCAGGTAGTATATAGCATGTGTGTATATACAGTTTAAGTTAAATTGATTAGCCCTCCAGTAAAACGTTTAATTCTTTTAAAATTATTTCCCAAGTGCTGATTAACAGAGAGATTTTTTCAACACAATTTTAAAACATAATGGTTTTAATGGCTAATTTCCAATAACTAATTACTTTTGCCTTTGCCAATATGATTTTGTTTAAGTTTATAGTATTTAAGTAGTTCTTTTTAAAGGTACTAATATTCAAGTGCAATTTAAAGGCATTACTAGGTTTATTAGCTTAACTAGGAAAATTAGGTTCATTAGATAAGTCATCAGATAACAATGGGTTATTTTGTAGTCAACCGAAAAAATGTATGATTCTTAAGTAGGCTAATAATGTTGACGGTAAACACTGCTTTTAAGATTGCTTTTAAAAATATAACATTATGGGAAATAATGTGCAAAATTTTACTAATTAAACATCACTAGTGAAATATTTGAAAAAAAATGAAAAATTCACAGAAGCGCTAATAATTTTGCCTTCAACTGTTTATATGTGTATATTGTGTATACACACACATGAAAAGCAGTTGTGTATAATACCTCCTAATTCATAGTATTTATAAAAACAGAATGTCTGAAGTACCAGAATGACCTTCTTGAGAGATTTTGAAGTAATTGTTTGATAAACTTTTCAGTAGTGAAGTGGTACATGCTCATGTAAATATAGCAGATGTAGTAAGATTATTCATAACCAAACACACATGAACACTTTAAAAATATACTTTGTTAAATGATTGTGTAATAATAAATGATTGTGTAATAATAAATGATTGTGTAATAATATGTAATATGCAATTTGCAATATTGTAAAAGTAAATTTCCAGTTATATTCACTGTCTATAGTGACACGTGATGTAAAAATGATTTTAATATGCTGATTTGGCATTTATGAGATGTTTCTTGCTGTTGGCAAAGTTTAGAACATTTGCACTACTTAAGATACTGAATATTTGTAGCATTATTTCCGAGACAAAATATCCAGTTCACTGAAAATAGTAATAGTAATGTAAAGGTAAGTTGTTATAAAATAAATAGATTAAGTCTAATCCATTGTTGTTGTACTTTTGACATAAAATACCGTGTTAAAGATCTTGAAGAAATATTAAATAAATGTATTGTGGTATTTTTACTCTTTTTAACTGTATTTATCAATAAATAATTGTAGCATTTACATGCTTAGAACTTTCAAAAACATCAAAAGTCTTTCAGGTTCAAGAATGTTAAACAGTAAAACAGCAAAAGCTACAATCCAGGGCCAGCCAGCAGTATCAGGGGGCACCTTTAATGTTTTATTTGCCTTTCTAGAAGAGAGAACAAATCTAGGACTATATATTTATATATATATATATATATATATATATATATATATATATATATATATATATATATATATATATATATATATATATATATACATACACACACACACACACACACACACACACACACCCACACACACACAAACATTACCATTTTCAATATGAATGTTGATCACTTTCTTATACTTGATTGCTTGAAACGATCAGGACAGAACACATAAGACTTTCTGTCTTTGCCATTTTTAATTTTTAACTTTAGAAATCATTTGAGGGCTCCACAAACATCTGCGGGTTTTAAAATGGGTCTAAAAACCTTTTGTAGCTGATTTTAATTTAGTCTGGGTTTTTTTTTTTTTGTATTTTGCCATATTCCATTTAGAGCATGTTGTAAATATATTGTATTATTAGTATTATTTATTCATTTATTAAAAATAAATAAATAAAATTGATGCATGTTAGAAATTAAGCTGACCAAAGTGTGCTGATGATGACTAGCTATCAGATTTGTGTACCATGGCCCCAAGCCATAAATAACAATCCTAGTAACCCTCAGAAATGTTCACTCAGAATGAAATGGTTGCTAACTAGTCTTCAAGTCTCTTCTATTTAAATGTTCCTCTTCTGTTTGTCTTCTCATGACGTGTAGCTCCTGCTGGAGCATCTGGAGTGTCTGGTGTCCCGTCACGAGCGTTCTCTGAGGATGACTGTGGTGAAGAGACAGGCTCAGTCTCCTGCTGGAGTGTCCAGTGAGGTTGAGGTGCTCAAGGCGCTCAAGTCCCTGTTTGAACACCACAAAGCCCTGGATGAGAAGGTCAGCAGCCCGGTCCTGTCGCACTCACATGCTGATCAAATGAATCCAAATATATGTATTTTTGCGACCACAGCTGCTTATTTGGTTTCTGTTTTCACTGTTAGTTCTGCTCATAATGAAAACACACTGGCTCAAGAGCTCCAAAAATGACCAAAAGCTCCATGAAAGTGTCACGACAGTAGTTCACATGACTCATCTACTGTATTTAGTCTTATAAAGCTGTACAGTAGCTTTGTGTGAGGGCAAAGACGAAAATCTGGTAAGCCCTTATATCCCTGCTGCAAAACGAGTACATTTTTTTGAAGAAGGGGGGTCGAGCCAAAAAGCACAACCTATTAAGTCTGTCCTATTAAGCAGAAGATTATGCGAATGAACGTGTGTAGCACTAATATTGCTTAATTTAAGACGTTTTATCAGTTGTCGCTGTATTTCACAAAGTTGCGAATGTCCTTCACAATTAAGTTGCAATTGAACATTAATAAGCCAGAGTTTACATCTTAGTTTTTTCTTACAGTTGCAATTTTTCTTTCAACAGCATGTTCGCTGACCATTTCTCATAGTACTAAATTTATGGTGCCATTTCCTTTAAATTGTGACTTTTATTTCCCACAATTGCAATTGTTTTTAAGCTCTTATATTTAATTTTTTGAGAATTGCGACATCAGAAAATGTAAAAAAAAATATGGTAATCGATTTAAAGAAACATCAAGATCGTTTCTTGATGTCAAAACGATCAGCGTGAAGAATCAAATACAGAACAGTCCTGTAATCTATTTTTGACATGTTTTTGATGCCAGAGTCATTTAGACATCATTGTAGTTTACATATATTGTGATATGAATATATGAACTTTTTGTCAATTGAAATTGATCAGATGAATGAAACTTTCATACTTTCAACTTTCACTTACTACATTATAACATTTTTTTTGTTGTTATTTTGGTGGTCAAAATGGCATTAGTCTGTGGATGTCAAATAGACGTCAAGGTTTTGGCATCAGATTGGTTTGCATTTTCGACATGGTTTTAACATCATGTGAGAAAGCTTCTCAGTGGACAACTTAATGTCATGACTTCGAATTGACATCAAATTAATTAGCAATTTTGATGTGTTTTTTGATGTGATTCTTGATGTCAATTGGACGTCATTTTGACATCAAGGTGTCCACTGGAAAGCTATCTCACCATACTGGCTTTATTTCTCGCAGACGTTTTTTCTTAAAATTATATAAATAATTTGCAATTGCATGCTTAGAAGTAGGAATACTCCGATCGATCTGCTGGAGATTGGTATCGGCCGATAATCACATATTATAACTCGATTGGTACTTGCCGATCTGTCCCATCTCATGAACCAATCGCAGGTGCTTGTTTACAGGTTTACGCAGAGGAAGATGCACGTGCGCTGGGCTCATTAGTAGCACTACAACTGTTATGAGGTAATTGATGTGTGGGGTGCGGAAGTGATCGCTGCGGTCCCAACAAAGCAGCTAAAATATATACAGATGTGGTGTGGTGTCTGTTTATGCAGTTTATTGGTGCCATGTGAGTGATGGTCTCTTTGTTGCAGCCAATGCCTATCCAGTGTTTTGAGTTGCTGTGACTTGAGCAGAGCGATCTCACCTATGGTCTTATCCAATAGTACGAGTTCTGCCGGAAGCTCCGCAAGTCTCGTACATATTCATAGCCACTCCCTGACATTCGTGAATTAGATTAAATACCCTGGAAATCATGGAGACGAGGGTGAATTAGCAAGAGAACAGATCGCAAGAGGCACGGTGATGTTTTAAGCATTACATTTGTTAGGTTAGACGAATAGCACAGTAAATATATCTTGATTTGCTTGATCATCTGGAGCTGTGGTCAGTAGTTGGAGAATAAAATATTGGGACATTTTATTTATATATAAGAAGTGAAAGTTCTATGTTTTTGACAATATTACAAGATCACCAAACAAAGGCTGGAAATTGAAAAAAACTAAATAAAAAAATAATGATGAAATAAATTAATAATAAAAATAAAAATGAAATAAAATTCATTGCAATAAACAAATATGTGTTTATAGGTATGTATATTAACTTATGCATTAAATATATGCTCCAAACTTTTTCCTGATTGAGACGTGTTGAATCGGAACTTGGTATCGGTTGCAAAAGTCCTGATCGGAACATGCCTACTTATAAGTTATCCAACAGTTTTGGCCTTTTTTGTTCAATTCATACTTCTTTTTTTTAAGTCATAATTGTGACTTTGTAAACAAAAAATTTAATGACAGAAACAATTCATATCAAACAACCCGATATCTAGACAATAACTATCTCTTCAAAGAGGGCATGTTTTTGGACAAGGTCTCCCTGTTGAGTCATAGTCTATTGTTCTTCTCTCCCTCAGGTTCGTGAGAGATTGCGTGTGGCTTTAGAGAGAGTTGCCGTTCTAGAAGAAGAGCTTGAATCATCTACGAACGAGGTGAACATCATATCTTTTTGTACCAGCTTTTTTTTTCTAAGCATGTGGCATGTCAGTCTTGCATGCTTAGATTTGTTCGTTATGCTCAGGTACTGTCTTTGCGGGATCAGATTAAAAGGAGAGAGCGGGGTTTGGACAATGGAAAGGAGGTGAGTCACAACTATTTTGAATCTTGTTTCGAATGTTTTCACTGTTTTTTTTTCCCTCATGTCCCTCTGTTTTTCACACAGCGGCTCCCAAATGGCCCGTCCTCCATCTTGGATGATGGCGAGATTGACAGACAGAGAGAGGGAGAGATAGAGAGACAGAGAGCAGAGCTTTCACAGTTAAAAGAAAGACTGGCGCTCATGTGCAGACAGGTAAGTGTTGCACTGCTGTCTGAAGAGGATGCATCGTAAGGACTGCAGACAAGATTAGCTGATTCAGAAAGAAACCATATTTTATTCACATGGTTTCACCAAGTCACATTGAAGACTTTTTAAAGATCTTTTTTTGAAGGCAATTATGAATTAAATTTCAGATGTATACAGGGCTAAATGCTAAGGATTTTTAAGTAAGAAGTAAAACTATTTTTAGAAGGAAAAAGATTTTTACTTACCCCATTAGGAAATACAAACAACTTATTTCTGAGCCACGTATTTTAAATAATGTGTCAAAACAGGAAAACCCTAGTTTGCTTCTTCTTCTCAACATAACTTTTTCTAAAAATAAAAAAAGGCAATATTTCAGTGAATTTCAGGACTTTTTAAGGCCTGAAATTCAGTTTTTGAAATGTAAGACATTTGAAGACTTTGACATTCCGCTTGTTCCAAATTCCGCATCGCAAATATACTTCACACAAGTTGCAATCCCAAAATGTACTGTTGTAAAACTTGCTCCAACACACTGTCATTTAACTTTTTTAAAATATTACCAGGATTTTTACAAGCAAATTTTTGAAAAGAGATTTTTTAATTGCACTTTTGTGAGAAAATATGAGTAAATGAACAAAATGTTTATTTGGTAAATTACAGGCGGCGGTATTTTGTGATTGTTTTGTCTATTGATGCATCTGTGGCATCAATAGATCTATTTATTGACTTCAAAATATTTCCACTGGAGGGATATTTCAGAAAATTACCACAACGCAATTTGTGTGCAAGTCTATACAGGTAAAAGCGATTTGTTAAAATAAAAGGAAAAAGTAGCACACTGGTGCAAAAATAATTCAGTTGCAATGTATGACCACCAACCTGATTTCAACAAGCAGAAAAGCAACACTGATCCTGAAACAATATTCCCAATCAGACAATCGGAATTGAGGGACACATTTACCATTTGTGTTAAGTTTAGGCTTACGATTAGGTATATGCACTTCTACATGAGTGTTATCCAACTGTTATTCCCCCTCGGACAGGAAAGTGGACCTCCATGAGCAGAACTGGACATACTGTATGAGCAGAACTGCCATAATGCATTGCAACAAGCAGATGGCAAGATGGCAGACAAGGCGAGAGAATAAGACTTGAATGAAAAGTTTTGAAAATGAAAAGTGTTTTATTCAATGTCAGTTATTAAACATTTCTTTTTATTTTGTTTAGGAAATGTTTGGGAATTGTATTGATTAATCATATTATGCAATTAAATTATTTATAATTATTAAACATATTTTTAAAATAAATGTTTTGCACTATTTTATCTACTTTAATGTGCAGAAGTTTGGGGTTTGGTACAGTTTTTGAAGCTAGTTATGCCCACCAAAAAAAAAAAAAGCAGTTTAAAAAGTAATTTTGTAAAATAATATAAGAATGTAAGTGTTTTCGATTTAAATCAAATTTGATAACAAATCTAAGCCTTTAAGTTGCAATTGCTCCAATATCCAGCATCATACAATCCTTCTGAAATCAGATTAATGTGCTATTAATATGATTTTCTGCTATATAAACATTTCTCCTTATAAATCGTCATTATCAATGCTACAAAAAACAAGAAAGCATCTGCAGCCCCACACATTTAGACTATTATTAAATAGTGCAAAAACTGAGGTTTTGCTTGTTGGTACCAAATCAACACTTTCCAAAACTGTCAGCTTGTCACTTTCTATTGGCGACTGTTCCATTCATCCCTCTAAACAGGTTAAGAGTCTGGGTGTCATCCTTGAAAGCACCCTATCTTTTGATTCTTACATCAATAACATCACCCGCTCTGCTTACTTCCACCTACCAACATTAACCGACTCCGCCCTTCTCCTACCCCCCATGCCACTGCTGTTCTTATCCATTGCCTTGTCACATCTCGTTCAGATTACTGCAACTCCCTTCTCTTTGGTCTCACTTATAAATTCCTCAGTAAGCTTCAGTTGGTCCAGAGCTCAGCTGCCGTATCATAACCAGAACCCCTTCTTCTCATCACATCACCCCTCTCCTGCAGCAGCTTCACTGGTTACCAGTGTAATTTTGCTGTTAACATTTAAAGCCATCCACAATCTCGCCCCTCCATATTTGTCTGCCCTCATACACACTTCTTTGTCCCATTCAGCCAGTTTGCTCCCCGGCCTTGGAACTCACTACTACCTGCCATCAGAAACAATGACTCCTTTACATTTTTCTAAACAAGGCTTATTTTAGATGGCTTTGAAGTATCTGCACTATTGTTATGTATAATTTTATATTATTTCCCTTGTTATTTTATTGCTCTTGTTTTATTGTATGGTGTCCTTGAGTTGCCAGAAAGGCACATTTAAATACAATTTATTATTATTATTATTATTATTATTATTATTATTATTATTATTGTTATTATTATATAATTTACACAAAGTTAAGTATTTATTTAATTTATGTAGAAGTCTGGCTGTATTTTGCTACAGTAAAAATACATTTCTTTTAAAAAAAACTTTTAAATAGAAGTGATGAGAAGTATGTACTTTTCTTATTAAAATTTTAGAACATTTCAACTCTTTTAACATATAAAACCATGAACATGAAATGTGTCTCATACAGAAGTATTGCTTGTGTGGAGTTTCAAATCATTGGCGGACAAGCTTCCATAATAATTAGGATGCCGCCTTAGTAGTCAGTCAGAACCAGAGCTTCTAAGTGTGCGCTTCACATATAATGTTCACAGACATAGAAAGGAAATACGGGACAGACGGGTGGGAGAAGAAGACATACAGTATGACACACTCTGAGCACTGACACATTTTCAACTGAGAAGCTTCCAGTTAGCCTGGCATTCCTATGGTTACCATAGAGATAGAGGATCAGAGGAGATGAGGATCAGAAGGGAAAAGACGGTGGCACATTCTGCTGCCCCCTGGTGGATGTGCGCAGCATTGTCAAAGAGAAAAAAAAAACAAAGGGAGAACTCATCCAACTGGAACTCATCCAAGTTTTTTTGGCTGGTTTGTGTGTTTGCATGCGTTCGTGCGCACATTCTAACGTCTGAGTCTTCCATGCGCAGGTTGGAGAGATCGAGGAGCAGCTCACCACCGCCAGGAGGGAATTAGCTAAATCTGAGGAGGCCAATCAGAAGCTGCAGAGGGATGTGAAAGAGGTGGGTCAGAAGTCAAGTTCTCATCGAGAGAACTTCGAAACAACATCCAGAGACCCATGTCATGCAAACATGGTCCCTCCTCCTTTCCCATCTAGAAGGGTTTCCTGCCACAGCGCAGTGATTAATTGCCAGTAAAGTGCTCTAGTTGTTGATGGGTGTGCCTGTCAGCCAAAGCCAAAATCAATCAAACTGCCAACAAAATAATCAGCTGTCTATCTGACATTCCTCATGGAAGAAGTCTAATTTTCTGTATAATAGAAGCAAACCATACATGCCAACTTGGCAGCAGCACTGATTTCATGTCCCCGACTTACGGAATCGCTGGTGGCTACCGTGTTGGCTTGGTTTTACTTTTAAGTTGGACGCCTTTAGCAGATATTTGTGGCTGCTATATGTCATGAAGTACAGTCTTAAAGGGATAGTTCACTCAAAAATGTATTAAATATGTAAATGAAAACTCACTATTTACTCATCCTCAAGTGATTCCAAACCTTTATGATTTGTATTATTCTGTTGAACACATAAAATATATAGATATTGAAGAAAGCTAAAAACCTCTAACCATCAACTTCCATAGTAGGAAAACAAACACAACTGACGTCAATGGTTACACATTTCTAGTATTCAAAATATCCAAGTGGTGCTCGCTGCAGAGCCATTTGAGGAGAGCTGAGCTCCAGCGAGGGGGAGCTTAAGCTTGAGCTCCACCTTTTTTGCACTTCTTCTACGAGTGATGTCTCTGGGGGTAGGGTTAGGGTTGGGGTTGGTGTACGCATTAAAACAGCTTACAGGAGGAGAAGCGACAGCTCATGCTCCACCTCGCTGGAGCTCAGCTCTCCTCAAATGGCTCTGCAGCGAGCACCCTCAAAAAATATCTGCTTTTGTGTTCAACAGAAGAAAGCATCAAGGTTTGAAACGAGTAAACGATGACCATGATCAATTTTGGGTGAACTACCCCTTTACACCTAAAAAACGAAGCGCCTTTTTCTTTTGTTGTTATTTTCACAACAAGTATCTTTCGTCACCTCCCCTACAGCAATTATATTATGATAATATTTGTTGTAAATCTTTTTGGTTTCGCAATAACTGTTCATTGTCATGCCTTTGCCATTTGAAGTAAACAGTTCCTGCAGAACTGCTGTCTAGACGGATGCCCAACCCTATTAATGTAACTGAATGGTCTAATTGTGATGGTTTAGTTCGTGTTTGTATTTCTGCTGTAAGTTAAATATATGCTATTGTCTTTCAATCTTTTTGACACTTTTTTTAAACTATCAAATTTGTCCACACCCTCAACCACAGGCGCTGTGTCAAAGAGAGGACATGGAAGAAAGAATCACCACCTTAGAGCGCAGGTAAACTTTGATGCTTAAAATATGAAGCATTTAATAAATGTTATTCAATAAATTGCTTGATGCACAGCAAAAACAAAATGTATAAAATAAATATCATGTGAGTTTGCCTCAGTAGTGCATAATTGATTATAGACCCCTATTATATGAAATCTATTTAATTGATTTCTTCCATTTTTTTTCTGGACTTCATTATTGTAGTTAAAATAAACTTTACTAGTCAGACTAGTACAGTTATCTGAAACCATGAAACTTATTTAATTGAACAGAAGTTGTTTTAAAAAAATGACATTTTTTAAATCCTATGAAAACCCTATTAACCCTATGAAAAATGTTTTGTTTTTCTCATCTTATCAATAAACTAAAAATAGGACCAGATATTTTATTTTATTAATTTTTGTTCGTCTTAGTCACTTATTTATCAGGGGTTATCAACTTATCCAGTGTATGTTTTAAACAGCAGATACACTTCCAGCCTCAACCCATTACTGGAAAACACCCTTACACTCTCACATTCATACATATACTCATACACTATGGCCAATATAGATCATCCAATTCACTTAAACTTCATGTCTTTGGACTATGGGGGAAACACCAGGAGAAAACTCTAACCAACACAGGGAGAACATGCAAACTCTACAAAGAAATGCCAACTGGCCCAGCTGAGACTCGAACCAGCTGCCTTCTTGCTGTCAGGCCCCAGTGCTAAAATTTTATTTTATTTTACTTTTTTTATTTTACTTAATTTAATTTTACTTTATTTGATTTTACTTTATTTTACTTTTTTATTTTACTTTACTTTATTTAATTTAATTTTATTTAATTTTATTTATTTATTTTTATTTATTTTATTTTATTTTTTTATTATTATTTTTATTTTTATTTTTTTTAATTTTATTATCCACTGTGTTTCCCAGAGATGGGTTGCGGCTGGAAGGGCATCTGCTTGGTAAGTTGCTGGATGCTGAATAAGTTGCTGGATAAGTTGGCGGTTCATTCTGCCGTGGCGACCTCAGATTAATAAAGGTACTAAGCCGAAAAGAAAATGAATGAATGAATGAATTATCCACTGTGAGATTCTACTTGTGCATTACATGGCAATAGCCTTTCTCACATACAATGGAAGACAAAGACTGAAATGAATCTTAGATCAGCTCTGAAAATAAAGTCCAAGTGTTAATAAGCAGTTTAGGTAGACAAAACCACATGGTCATATGTGCTGTAGTATGCTTGTGAAGAAAACCAATTCAAGAGTTCACACTTAGCTGATGATTAGTAGTGTAAAGTAGTAGTGTATTAGTAGTGTATTTGGCTTATAATCCTTTAGTATTAGGATCCTTGAGCCCCGGGCTCACCCCTGTTTAGTCAGGAGAGAGGGGAGCCTCAAATAGGTCCTGAAAGCTCCCCCTCCTTTTTTCTCCTTTTTATTCACAGGATGTGTTAGAATTTATCTGATTAGTTGGTTGTGTGATTGTTGATGCGAGACCAGCCATGGTCAATCATCTGCACATGATCCTCTTGAAATTTGTTTTTAAAACATCACAAAAAGAGCCACCGGATTGTCCCTATCTAAAAAAAGTCTTAAGTTGCACAGGTGTATTTGTGGGAATTGCCAAAAAATAGTATGAGTTCATAATATATTTTATGTAAAAATTTATTAAAATATTAAGTAAAGATCATGTTCAATGAAGACATGTTGTAAATTTTTATAATTAAATATTGCATAATTATATCAGTACTTAAGGTTTAGTAATATGTACTGATAAAAACTTAATCTGGACATCGTTAAAGGTCATTTTCCCAGCATTGAGATGTTTTTGCACCCTCAGATCACATATTTTTTCAAATAGTTGCATCTGCAAACCATATGTCAATGGAAAGCTTATTTACTTGGCTTTCATATCATGTACAAATCTCAATAAAAAATGCATCCCTTAAAACTAGTTTTGTGTTCACATTGATTATTATATTGATACTATATAAAATTTCTGAGGAAAGGGTATTAGTATGCTGTCTGAATAAGATTTGGCGTTTTGGATACCATCATGAAATTTCATTCATCCATTATCTGCAAGTCGTTCATATATTTCATTCATCCATTATCTGCAAGTCTGCAAAAGTAGACCAACATCTTTCAACACACAATGTTTTTTTTTACTAGGAATAGGTGACTAGTTTTTTTTCTTCATTATTCCATGGAAAACAAAAACAAACAAAACAAAAAACAAGTGACAGACATTTCATTCTGTTACAAGGTGATGATTGGAGTAATGAAAAAATGCAATTTGATGCACAGATTTCGCATTTACATACAATTTAAACCGACAGTTTTAGACAGAAACATTTGACATGATGCGTTTTAATGTGGATTAGCTGGACCACACTTTGAAGAGCCACAGATAGAGCTGCAGTTTTGATGTACAGATCTTCAGCATGTGTGTTTTTTGTGTGCAGGTACCTCAGTGCCCAGAGGGAGGCAACCTCTCTCCATGACATCAAAGACAAACTGGAGAACGAGCTCGCCAGCAAAGAGTCTTTATACAGACAGGTACAACTAAAGGGAAATCATGTACAGACACACATGAAAGGTGTAACTATTGAAGGAACATTTAGCAGTGTGTTCATCTACAGGAGTCTCTGGGGCTTATTGTCAGGAAATGGCGCCATTTGTGCTCGAAGATTTGGATTTGTTGTTAGTTTATTTGAAGTGGTTTGAAGGCCTTTCTTGTTGAACTTTTTAGAAATCTTTTATGTTTCAACACCTGAGGTTCAGGAGTGGTTTATAACTAGCACTTTCATTTCATTGTCAACAAATAGACCAGTATTTATTTCATATTAAACACGACATGAATGAGAGTGCATGGGTGTTTCTCAGTACTGGGAAGGGCATCCGCTGAGTAAAACATATGCTGGATAAGTTGGCGGTTCAATCCGCAGTGGTGACCCCTGATAAAATAAAGGGACTAAGCCATAGGTGAATGAACTAAGAAATAAACAACAAGAGTTTTCTCACAAGTTTAAGTTTGAAAGATTTATTATTTGTCTTTTATTTATTTTCCCAGTACTGGGTTGCGGCTGGAAGGGCATCCACTGCGTAAAACATATGCTGGATAAGTTGCCGGTTCATTCCGCTGTGGCGACCCCTGATTAGTAAAGGAACTTAGCCGAAAGGAAATAAATTAATGACGTTTATGTCTATTGAAAAAAAGCAGAGAATCAGTGCATTTTTATTTATTTTAAAGTATAATTAACAATATTGTTTTTAAGTTTGAGGTCAGTGTGTTTTTAGCATAAAGGCTGATTTTACTTGACCAAAAATACAGTAAAAACTAATATTGTGGACTATTGTTTAATTTTTGGATTATGTAAGAGCGATTAATATTGTTTTTCAGCTTAGAATATTAATGGCACCTTGAAACATTTCTTATTATCAGAGTTAAAAACAGTTGTGCTGCTTAATAGTTTAATCATAATGCTTAATTCTTTAGGAATCGCTGCTGAATCAATAGTTTAAAAGAACAACATTTATTTAAAAAAAGTTTATTTTCAATAAAGTACACTCTCAGAAATAAAGGCACAAGGGCTGTCACTGGGGCAGTATCTTTATAAAAGGTACATATTTGTTCCTAAAGAGTCCTTAATGGTATCTCAAAGGTACATATCAGAGGTACCAATATGGACTCTTCAGGTACAAATATGTACCTTTTATAAAGGTACTGCCCCAGTGACAGCCCTTGTGCCTTTATTTCTGAGAGTTTAAAAGCTGTTAATGTCATTTGTGAACAATTTTATTATTTTTTGCTAAAGAAAAGTTTAAACGTTAATAAATAAAAATAAAATGCACTGATCTCTAAAGGGTAATCTGTATATTATTTAACCCTTATGTACTGTTGAGGATGTTTTCATCCACTCGGGGGTGATTCTATCTTAATTTGGCCATAACTTTTTTTGTGTTTTAGCTTGCAGAATGATTTTGGTGACAAATCATATTATTATAATACTTTATTTTTGACTTCCATTATAAACACTTTTTTTTATTATTTCAAAGCCATGACATCATATAATCATCCATTTCTGATTGTTGGTGGTTTTCCCTGTTGGGAAGAGATAAAATTAGTAATTTTTACTGTTGATCATCACTTGGCATCATTAGCCTTTTAGATAGGCCTGTGCAACAAAAGCTTAGTTTCTGGATTTTATATGGAGTAAAATAACAAATGAATGTGTGTATGGGTGTATGAGTGATCTTTGCACACTTACCTTAATGTGTCTAAGAAAATCAAAATATGCATCACAGCTCTAAGAAATACATGGAGTAAAAAAAAAAAACAAAGACAGTGTGTTTATGCACCATCAAATGTGGTTATAATGGAAGTCAATGGGGGGAAAAATAAAATCTAACAATGCATCAAAGCCAATGTTGTTACTAATCAATGTCCAGGACTTTGATAAAAGGTAAAAAAATCTACAATTACTTTTTATATTGAAAATACATATTTTTTGTGTGTTTTTTTCACCAAATCATTGACATAATTTATGAATTTGGCAATTAAAGACTTAAAATCCTGTCATTTTCTAAACAATTTAGTAGTTTTAATCAAGACTGAGGTTTATTAACAGATTTATGCAAAAATCAGATGCATTTTTACAGCAGTTTAATTCAGTGGATGTTTTCTTCCCTAACATAACAAAGTAGTACATTTAAACTGCGCACAAGGGTTAAATTACATAACCCTTTAATATGCGCTAATAAAAATGTAAACATCCAAACTTTTAAAACACAAATTATTTATTGTGGTAATTTGAAATCTATTTGATCGTTTTTTCTTTTGCATATGATAAAAAATTTCCAAATATTTGACCCTTACATTTTTTAAATATTCTTTTTCCAAAGATATGTACTTATCGAGTAGATGTACTCCAGATTGAGACATTCCTGGCTGTGGAACATCACATCAATGTTTAAAGTATAGCTAAATTACTGTTTGCTTTTAAATCTAAGTGAATTATTTTTGGTTGAGGAGGTCTGTAATTGTGGCTTTAAGAATGTAGAATCTGTTTCCAGACTCTCTGATATGCCTGGACGTGTTGCTTTTACATAACATGTTTTTTTGATGTTCATACTTATGTGAATGATCACTAGTTATAGAAAATCTAAAGACTAATTTTATGACGAGACTCTGCAAGCAAAAACACATTTTTCCATGCACCTGTCAGTCTGATTTAAAGAAATACACTTCCAAATGTTTCTTCTGTTGCACTGTATTGATTTGTGTCTATACATTTCATTTACAATACTCATTTTGAATGCACTAAACCTCCAGTTCAGCACTTTAATACCAAACCTCACAGTTTCATTCCTCTCTACATCTTTACAGATGGATTTGTCCATACATAATTGACCTGACTGTGCACATTTTTAGTGACCAAATTTTAGTTTTGTCAGTTAAAAGTATTTCTGAATAATTGAGTGAACCTCTGAATATATTATGTCAAAACAATGAAATTCTAACTAGCATATATGTTATATAACATGTCATTTGCATATTTAAATGTAACATTTTAGAATAGTTATAATACAAAAATGTTTTCAATTCTTAATGTACAGTACATCAACATGGATAAACAGGAAAAAGATAAGAAGTCATAGCAATATTTTAGTTGGTGCAACTTTTTCAGCATATTAGGCATATATTTAAATATAGATAAATATATAGATATAGATAAATATTAATGTGCTTTTCCACTGCATAGTTTGGCACATTCTAGTTTAATATATGGCATATAATATATGAAATTAGTATTTCTTAAAATTCCACCTTGGATGAAGTTTCAAGCTAGATTTACCAATAATAACATGATGTACTGTATGCACACTGCTAATCATGATTGGTTTGAGAAAATTATCTTTATCAATTGTCATACTAGTGTCGTTAGATACACAACAGGAAACATCAAACCCTCCACATTTAACTGCAGCTTCTAATGCTGTATTGTTGGCTTGTATGACTAAGACATTTTTAAAAGACATCTGAAATAGCAGCATCATGGTCTGTTGAAGAGATTCAGTCATTCATGCTGGATAAGTTGGGGGTTCATTCCTCTGTGGCGACCCTAAAGGGACTAAGTGTGAATGAGTAAGTATGGGTGTTTCCCAGTACTCGGTTGCAGCTGAAAGGGCATCCGCTGTGGAAAACATATGCTGGATTAGTTGGCGGTTCATTCCGCTGTGGCAACCTCTGATGAATAAAGGGACTAAGCCGAAGGAAAATGAATGAAAACGATGATATCACGACAGAAGAGGTGGAGTAACTGTAGCAATAATCCCCCCCCCCACTTTAACTGCAGTGGAAATGCAAACCAAGCCAAGTAAAACCAAACCGAAACAAGAACTGTGCTGTACCATGCAGTGAAAAATCGACTATAGTTTTTTTTTTTTACTTTATATACACACACAATCAGTGTTTTTTTTTTTTTTACCTGACAACATTTTTGCTCTTATTTTAATTCTTTATTTAGTGGCCTTTCCAGTGAAAAAAATTACTTTTACAACACAAACAAAGCATTTTTTCCTAATGTGAATATTCTTCTTTTGGTGTTTTTTTTATTATTACCTTGTCCTCATTGTTTTGTTACTCCTCACCTCAGAGTGAAGAGAAGAACCGGCAGCTTCAGGAGCGACTGGATGATGCCAAACAGAAGCTCCAGCAGACCCTCCAGAGGGCTGAGACGCTGCCCGAGATCGAGGCTCAGCTCGCCCAAAGGGTGGCGGCGCTCAATAAGGTGTGTTCGGATCTGCTTGTCTGTTTTTTGCTTTGAGAACAGGTCAGAACTATGTTAAAATACATTTTAACCTTGATCTGTTAATTTAGGCGGAGGAGCGGCATGGCAACTTTGAGGAGAGACTGAGACAGCTGGAGGCGCAACTCGAGGAGAAGAACCAGGAGCTGCAGAGGGTGAATCATCATCAACACTTTACGCTTTTTTATTTGTTGGTAGTGAGGTATTCTCAATATGCCTTAAGATGAGCTTAATGAAAAATGAAAACATAAATAAATCCATAATAATTCTTTCAATCATTTAAGTATCAAGTTGACATGAATATTATTATTTTGAGTATTTTTTATGTATTAGTTTTTTATCGTTTATTTATTATTTATTCTTTCGTTTTAAAAAAAATAGTTTGTGACCCTTGACCACAAAAACATTTAGATTTATGCATCACTTGACATCTGAATAAATAAGCGTTTCGTTCCAAGCTTTCCAAGCAAAAATTGCTCTTACATTATTAGTGTTTAACAATGCACATTTCGAATCCAAAATTGTGTTTTTTATATATGTATGGTACGAAATTTACAAACCCACTTCATAGAATATGATCTTTAATTAATATATTTGTATGTTTCACAATCACCAGCATTCTAGCCTATGCAGTTCGCTGGAGAACTACACATCTGCCACCACATGAACTACAACTACCACAATGCCTTGCACCAATCTACACCCGCTACAGCTGACAATAATCCGGATACTCACTCATACACACAGCTGAAATTCTCAGTGATTACTAGGATTATAAACACAGTACACACACCTCTTTGTTGTTGTTTACCTGTAACATTACGAAGCATTCTCCTAGTCTTTTTGAGTTTGACCCTTGCCTTGTTTCCTAGTTTACGTTGTTTGACGTCTCTATCAACCTCTTTACTAGTGGTGGGCAGAGCAAGGCTTCATGAAACACTGAAACGGATGAAGCAAATGTGTCAAAACCTTCGAAACAACCTTTTTACTAGTGGTGGGCAAAGAAAGGCTTCATGAAACACTGAAACAGTTTAAGCAAACGTGTCGAAGCTTCGCAACGTTACGAAACCTATTTCTACAGTGACACCTAATGGTAATTTTTTTAAATGTATTGCTCTGGAACAGCTCCAGCAACGAAACTCTTAAGCAAATTGAGGTATTAAACCCCACGTTGTAGAGTTGAGGTTTCAAGTGATTTAGTGAAGCGGTGTGTTCCTGACTAGCATGCAGAGATAATGGGTTCGACACCAGGGTGATGCAGCTATAGATGTTCGTTTTTAAATGTTCAATTCTTGTAACGTTTTTTGTTTTAACATTGGTATAACATCCGTACAAACACTTTGTGAATAAATTTGTCTTGTTTTGGTCATAAAAACTAACAATGTTAAAATACAATAAGTGGTGACGTGGTGGCGCAGTGGGTAGCACGTTCGCCTCACAGCAAGAAGGTCGCTGGTTCGAGTGTGTTTAAAAAGAATGTGCTGAATAAGTTGGTGGTTCATTCCACTCTGGTGACCCCGGATTAATAAAGGAAAAAAATGTGAATGAATAAAAATACACTAAGTAATAATTTCAGAATTTTTGTACGAGTCAGGGTTTGAACTCAGGCAATTTGCAGCACAGTTAATCTTAGCAAGCAAAAGGTCCACTAAGCCACATGAGAGGTTTTTTCCAACCTTGTCAATCAAACGCAGATTCACCAGGTCTTGAAATGCTTCTGAAATGATCGATGCTTTGACCTTTGACATGGTCTGGGTGTTTCGAAGTACTTTGACCACGTGACCTGGTTGGCTTGGATCATGATTCGGTGCAGTGTTTTGATAACACTTGCATTTCGGGATATCGACACTGTGTTAAAACGCCAGTTTCACGTCAGCCATCCCAACTCTTTGCCTGTGACCTCGACTAAACTTCAGGATTACCCTTATTCTCCTGTTTGTATATGTTGACCATTGCCTGCATGACAATTCTTAATAAAACTGCACATGGATCCTCATCTTTGTTGTTTAGCATCCCCTTAATTTGCAGTAATTTTTTTGACATAAAAAGAAAATATATCATCTTGACTCACACAATGTATTTTTTGCATTTGCCAAAAATATACTTTTGCAACATACAGTAGTATGATTGGTTTTGTGGTCCAGGGTCACATATTTTATATGTATTTATAAATATATATGGCGTTTCAATTTTTTGCTCATTTATTTATTTATTTATTTATTTATTTATTTATTTATTTATTTATTTATTTATTTATTTATTCATTTATTTATTCCTAAATGATCAAATTTAAATTTAATTCAATTTAACCTTTTTAATCGTCTTTTATTGTATTGTTATTTTATATAGTTTTAATCTTAATAGTGTTTTGTGTTATATTTTATTTTTAGTGTAATTAATATATATATATATATATATATATATATATATATATATATATATATATATATATATATATATATATATATATATATATATATATATATATATGCTTGTAAAAAATTCAAGTGCTTTGCCAATTAAGGTGGATGCACAGGTTAAGTTTTTTTTTTAAACAAACTCATTTCTCATTTCTTTGTCATTCAATTTTCCCTCAGGCAAGGCAGAGGGAGCGCATGAATGATGAACACAATAAACGTCTCTCCGACACGGTGGACAAGCTTCTGTCCGAGTCCAATGAGAGGCTTCAGCTGCACCTGAAGGAGAGAATGGCTGCCCTCGAGGAGAAGGTGTGATCCGTTTCCACCATTTCAGATTTGATTTCTTGAAAAAAAAAAAAAAAAAAAACACTGCATGCCTCAAGAGAAAGCTGAAAAATAGCCTTGACATGTCACCACGTCTTTGAAGTTTTCCTCAAACTCCAGATGTGGCTTCAGCTATGTGTGCGCCTAATAGAAGCTCCAGGCTTCCTCCTTGTGTCTTCCTTCATATTTTCAGCACAAAAGCAGTTGTTGTGTGCGCAGTGCATTTCTGCTTAGACAACTCATGATGAATGGCTGAAACGTAATTTACGCTTGATGGTAAAAACAGAAAATGTGTGACTGAAGACTGAAGAACGGTGTAGGAAAGCTGCTTATTTTACAAATTAACTAGTAAACTGCTGTAGGTAAAGGATTAGTTCACCTAAAAATTCAAATCAGCCCATGATTTATTCACCTTTAAGGCATCTTTGGGGCATACAAATATACCTTTATACCTGTATACCTTTCTTCATTTAGTCAAATCCAATTGGAGTTATTTTATAACCCTACAATGACAACAAGTGGGTGTTTCTCTTCAAACGCCCAAAACATAGACGTTATCATCATCATCATCATCATCATCATTTTCATCAGCTTATCCGGGGCCGGGTCGCGGGGGCAGCAGTCTTATGACAGAACTCCAGACTTCCCTCTCCCCAGACACTTCCTCCAGCTCCTCTGGGGCGATCCCGAGGCGTTCTCAGGCAAGCCGAGAGACATAGTTCCTCTGGCGTGTCCTGGGTCTTCCTCGAGGCCTCTGCCTGATGGGACGTGCCTGGAACACCTCCCTAGGTAGGCGTACTGAAGGCATCCAAAACAGATGCCCAAACCACCTCAGCTGACTTCTCTCAATGTGGAGAAGCAGTGGCTCTACCTCGAGCTCCTCCCGGGTGAGAGAGCTCCTCACCCTGTCTATAAGGGTGCGCCCTTCCACCCTGCACCCACCATTTTAGCTGCTTGTTTCCGAGATCTTGTCCTTTCGGTCACGACCCAAAGCTCATGATCATAGGTGAGAGTAGGAATGTAGATTGACCGGTAAATCGAGAGCTTTGCCTTTCGCCTCAGCTCCTTCTTCACCACAACGGACCAGTACATCGACAACATTACTGCTGCCGCTGCACCAATCCACCTGTCAATCTTACACTCCATCCTTCCCTCACTGGTGAACAAAACCCCAAGATACTTGAACTCTTCCACCTGGGGTAAGGACTTTCCTCCAACCTGGAAATGGCAAACCACCTTTTTCCAGTGGAGCACCATGGCCTCGCCCCCAGTGCATGCTGAAGTTCCATGTTCGAAAAAGCCAACAGAACGACATCATCTGCAGATAACAGAGATGAAACCTTGTGGTCACCAAACCAGACCCCCTCCAGCCCAAGGTTGTGCGAGCTGAAAGACGATCACATGAGTTCTACTGTTGCTCCTATTGGCTGTCGCTCAAGAAAGTCGGTTTTCATTTGCATAAAATTGAAGATTCTCAACTTTGCCGTTTCACTCTGTCGCTCACGTACAGTAGACGGAGGTCGCCAGTAGTTGGTGGAGGTCACTCAATCTCCGTTAAAATGAATGCTCACTTGTCGCTTTGCCACTTTGCTGCTAGAGCCACTTAAGGCAACTATCTGCAGAGCTTTTTCGAGTTGACCTTAAATTAGGTCAAGTGCAGTACTTGGGTTGAAAGTTGAGTCAACTCAAAAAAGCTCTGCAGCAAGTGGCCTTACAATTTTGTGTTGTCAACTTTTTTTTTTTTTTTTTACAGTGGATGCTATGCAGGAAAATGCTTACTATCCATGTAGTGTAGAGCACTAAACTGCATTCTTAGTATGTCATGCACCAAAAGGCAGTCTCTCATAAGTGTGTGAATGACAGTTTGCGGAAGTTATACAAAACTGATTAGTTTTAAATATAGATATTTATCCTTCAAAAATACATTGGTTCACTATAAGAGAGAACTATTAACTGCCCTGTGTCGCATGAGGTCTTTTTATTATGGATGGATGTGCTTTATTGCACTTGTTTTGAGCTGTTAAAGACAAACACCCATCCAGAAGGAACTTGAAAGAGCCAGGACATTTTCAGAAATAACTCTGATTGCATTCAACTGAAGGGAAAAAGTCCTATCTATATAGGATGCATTGATGCTGTGTAAATCATAGGTTCATTTACATTTTTGGTGAACTCACTGTTAAAAAAATACTAGGTCTACACAATTCCTTCATGCTGTCCAACACAAATCAGTTGTTAACATAATTGTTATTATTATTATTATTGTGGATTAAACATAAAATTATTTAAGTTGTCCCAAAATAACCTCAAGAATCATTTTGATTCAGCTCATTTTAAATAGGTAGTTTGAACAAGAAGCAAAAATCTTATCTATTTGCTTTGAGGGAGTATAACTTATACTGTTACTGGTCCATATTTTGGACAAAGGGCCTGTTTTGGTGTTTAAAACTTGAAGAAGGTTTGGAGAACATTTTTTAACACACAGAATTAAATGAATATTAATAAAAATCCTTTCATCATTTACTCAACCTTAAAGCTGTTGTAAGCCTGTATGATTTTGTTTTGAAGGTTAAACTATATAGAGATTATTAACATTATCTTTTGTGTTTATTAAAAGAAATAATTTCATACAGCGCTTGAAGCTTTTTGAGTAAATGATGATTGTGTGTTTGTGAAATATGCATCTGAAAAGACAAGATGCCTTTCAAGTCTCGGAATGTAAAAAAGTTATTTTAAGGTCATGGAAAAAATATATATCCCATAATATTATATTGTTATTCATTTTAATTTGCTTCAAATTTAGTCAAAAATGTTATTCAGAAATAACTTGAAATGGTCTTTCCATATAAACTAGCTTTTATGTTTATGATTTAAAGTTGATGTCCCTACAAAATCAGCATGACGTGCGTGTTTTCATTTACGCTGAGTGCCTCAAGCTAAATTCTTGGATTCTTTTAACACTAGAACAACCACAGGGTAAAAAACAAAGTCACTCTCAGTCACTCAGTTACAACCCTTGTTTGGTTATAAAACAGAATTAAATGGGGCATTTAGATCTATAAGCTACAAATTTACCTATAATTTTTATTTTTATTTTCATTCGGCTTATGTTTTAGGTATAGAAGTTTTGGTCACAATGGATAACCGAAGGTGATGCACTGATGTTAAAAGGTTAATTCACCCAAACATGAAAAATTACTCATTATTTACTTTCCCTCAATTAATTTTTAAACCTTCTCTCGTCTGTTGAACACAAAAGAAAATATTTCAAAGAACGATGAAACCTGTAAAGATTGACTTCCATAGAAGGAAAAGGTTACAGATTTCCAGCTTCCTTCAAAATATCTCCCTCTGTTTTCAACAGAAATCACTTGAGGTTGAGTAAATGATGACAGAATGTTTAGTTTTGGGTGAACTATCCCTTTAAACAGGTATTACAGGCACAAAATGGCACGGATGTTGGCATTCGAATATCATGCATGAGTGATGTGTTCGGTGTGCTTCATACTAAAAACAATAATGTCATGACATTACTTTGTAAAGATAGTAGCATGAGATAATATTTTAGCCATTTCAAGAAAGTAAATACGCATTACTTTGGTAAATTGTACCTGCTGTTTTCTGCTCTGACGGTTCTAGAGAGGGACATTTAAACAAATGCTTTAGATATAGTTTGGATTATGAAAAGCACACAGTCACAATTGTAAACACACTTCAAGCTCATGTGTCTACAGATGGGCTATTTAAAGACAACAAGCACATATATACTGTACCTATAGACATCAACTACATACAGTACTACTGTATATAATTTAAGGTTAGCAATATTTATATGTAATAACTTCAACTGTTTTAAGCTATTAGTAACTAGTTAATTAGTTAAATTTATTGTAAGAAATAACCTTAACTTTTCTGATTTTACTTGTAATTGAATAATGTGTATTTATAAAGCTGCCTCAAAGCAACAATAATTGTGAAAAATGCTATACAAAGAAACTTGAATTGATTTTGAAGCTCTGAGGATGAGACTAGTTGTTGGATGAATATTCAGCTGTTTGTGTATTGGTTCAGATTGCTAGCTTGATTCTGTCCATGCCAATGTCAGAGGTGGATTCTCAGGGAACACACAGATAATCACTTTACATGAGAAGCATCTGAGAGTTGAATGAATTTTCACGAATGTCTGGTTTAATGTCTTACAGAACGCTCTTTCTGAGGAACTCGCTAACATGAAGAAGATCCAAGACGATCTCTTAGCAAACAAGGTACATTCCTCCCTAATCTGTCATGCTGTTGTTTAAAAGGAAAAAAAATAGGTTGTTTTCACTTGACCTGTGTCCAGATGGCTGCATTATTGAATACTAATGTCTTATTCCTCACAGGATCAACTAATTGCAGAGCTGGAGAGGCTTCAGCTAGAGCTGGACCAGCTGAGAGGAAGACCTGGATCCTCTTACTCACGGTAGCACACATACAAACACATTACATGGGGATGTTTTACCTGCTGGAGGTTTTAGTTATAACTAATACCTAATAAATCTGTGACATACTTAATAAATTGTCAAACATGGTCTTTTAAGATGATTAATCAAGTTTGTTACAGATTTTTTTTTGTTAATTTTTAACTAAAATTCAAAATGGAAAACTCTGTCATCCTTTGTTGATCATGAGAGAAGATATTTAGCAAAAGGTTGGAAGCTAGTAGCCACTGATACACAGTGTTACCACAGTAATAAACTTCATTTTAAAATATAATGCTATAAATAATAACAAAAATAAAAATTATAAGAGGAACAACTCATGTAAACACCTTAATCATATCATTATCTTATCATTTTAAAAGTATCAATTTAGCACCTGTATTGAAATATTCCCAAGTGATACCCAACCCTCTAAATAACTGTACCTTAGTGGAACATTAAAACATTTCAGAGCCCAGTCAGCCCACCAGACAATTGAACAGTGGGTTATGTCGATTAACAGGGTATTTGTTTAGGAATATGAGGTGATTTTACCCATCAGGAATCATTTAGATTGTTAAAACCGGCTAATGTTATGTTGCCTGTAACTTTGGCTTTGACTGTTTTCCTTTAGATCTCTGCCAGGAAGTGCTCTAGAGCTGAGGTACTCTCAAGGAGGCGGGTCACTTCCTGCCGGCTCCACCACTCACCTAGAGCATTATGGAAACACCGGCACAGGGGGTGTGGTCAGACGGACTCACCGTGGACGCTGGAGTGGTGCCAGGGAGGATGCAAGCAAAGTAAGAACATTGTTAAACTAAATTTGGTTTGTTTATTTAAATTCAGCTCATGTGGATTGTCTGTGGCCAGTTGCCTTTGGTAGGTCTAATAAATCTTTTTTTCAGTGTATTTAAACTGGATTATGGGGAATAAATAAAGTGAATTATGAACAAATTAAATAAAAATAACATTCAATATTAAAAAAAAACATTGTTAAATGCACTTGATTAGTTATGCACCATTCTCTATTTTTTTTAAAGTTGATTCCATTTGCAGTTTTTTACAGCAAACTCTCAGATTCCCACACAGATTTTTCAACTTTAAAAAAGTATATATTTTAAATGAAATGAAATTATATAATTAAAAATAAAGAGTAAAACAATTATTTGACTTTAGCTTTGTGAAATTCAGATACAAAAACATATCTTTACAAACAAAAATAGTAGACATTCTGCATAAAAAACTGCCAATAATTACAGTAAGCAATTAGTTATTATATTTCATGCATGATTCCGTGCCCTACAAAATCATTGCAAATGATCTACATGAATAAATTCCTTCCAAACAAAAGTTGTATTCATATCACAATATAATGTTTATTGCAGAAAAACTAAATATTGCAATGGCAAATTTTTCCAAAATTGTGCAGCTCTAGTCTGAATTTTACTAAAGACCATGGCTGACCTAATGACCTGGTCCTCATGTATGAGCTGGAGTGACTAATTGAATCTTTTTGGCTCGAGACTTCCAGTCTCATTCACTCCCATTGATTTTTAGACATTAAAACAGCTTGTTAAGCTGCTTGATGTTGCAAACTGATATTTTTATATTTTACTATTCTACTTTTTATGTATATTCACAAACACACATTTGTTGAGCAAATTTTAGTCGTTCCTCCCATTTGCGACTGAATCGAAAGTTCTGAAACAATGGCAAAAATGAGACATCACACTTTTGTATAGCAGAATAAGTTCAATAGATACTGCAATCCTAATTGAAACTGGTATTTAGAAAGTATTGTTATTTACTCTAGCTGTAAATAGAGGTTTTCACAGATGAAATTGACATATATCCTGCACTTGTATTATTTTTGACCTTTTGAAACTTCTGTAACTTTTCAACTTTTGTAAGCTGTTTGGAGAGAACTGTGTGTAGGTATAGTGTGTCCACTGTCATATTGGAGTGATGTAAACCCAAAAGGTCTCTTTTTTAAAATTTCCTGATGGTTAAAATAGGATCCAAATCCCAGTGATTTTGCGGCCCGCCGCAACGTGACGTAAGAGTGCAGTTTTCCCTGCCCACCAAATTCATAGACAGGCACCATGTATCTTTAACAACATGTATACACATGTCCAAAGAACATTTGTTTGCAATCAAACTGGGATTAAAATATCTGTTTAACTTTCTGTGTTTTTTTAAAATAAATGTTAAGTTTAAAACATTTATTATTTTAAATATAAAGAGAGTAAAATCACTATGCAATTCTTAACTGCTATTATCACCATGGCCGCATGGTGTCAGTAAACTTGCATATGTCTGTGTGTATACTGCAAAGGCAATTTCAGAAAGGCTTGAATAAACTCCACCACAAATATCACTGACTGCTGTTTATCTGACATAGTGCATGATGAAAAGCAGAAACACACATGGGAGCGGTGGGCAGGGAGAAGCAGCTCCATTTACAATATAGCCACGGGCTACAAAAACAGCTACATTATACTCAGACACCAAAATATGTATATTCTGGAGGCTATAGTAAATAATCTGCTGGGTATTTTAAGCTGAAACTTTACAGACACATAATAGAGACACCAGAAGCTTATCTAAAATAGGTGCCCTTTAAAACTCCAAGCAATTGCCTTAACACAAGCTATAATGAAAACTTCACAAACACAAAAGTTACATCTGTGCAATCCTTTTATTTGCTGAGAAACATCACTAAATCGCAGAAGCGTGGAATGAACAAATGTTAAAATTTGTTACATTTATTAAAGTAATACAGAATGCCAAAAAATGGCCAGTTGATGATTGAACATTTTAATCAAAATCCAGCCAATTCTGATTCCTCTGATCTCTACATTTACTAAGAGATGAACAGAATGATTTAATTTGATATTTGAAGAAGTGATGTCTTATGTTGGTCTGCTTCAGTATGGCGATTGGGAAAGCGGAGCGCTGCTGGGCTCTGGTTTCGAGGGCGGTGTGGAGGACAGGTGTTCTGATGATGAAGAGGACCGCGAGACGCTTTTCGGCTCGGAGCTGCTCTCACCGAGCGGCCAGACAGATGTGCAGACCCTCGCTATCATGTTGCAGGAGCAGCTGGAGGCCATCAACAAAGAAATAAAGTGAGTTCACTGCAGACAGAGAGACCTTGAGGACGACTTGGAAAAACAAACTTTTATTTAATGTGGAAGACAGTTGAAATTGAGAGGGCCTTGAATGGGAGGATGATGGGAAAGTGCAGGAGGAAAGCTCGCACATCATGATTTAGCCAAGTGCGACATCTATGTTGATCCTGGAACATCATTTTTGATGGAAACTGTAATTAATACCTATTCCTCGCCCCTAAACCCAACTATAACTGTAAATCATTCCCTAAATCAGAGGGGGAATAATAGTTTTATAACACTCATGTAGAAATGCATATACCTAACCGTAAGCCTAAACATAACATAAATGATAAACATATCCCCTTAATTCTGATTGGCTGATTGGAATGTTGTTTCAGAATCAACATAGATGTTAATCCAGGAACATGTCCTACTTAGTGAAATCAGGTTGGCAGGAGAGCTCAGTATAGAGGGTAAATTGTAGGAGACTAGTTTTCAAACTGACTTAGGGAAACCCTGTTACTTTGGGAACTGGAATTATTTTTTAATGTTTTTAAAAGGAATGCCTACCAAAAACTGCATATATTTGATAAAATAAAACATTGCGATTTAACATTTATTTATTTATTTACATTTATTTATTTATTTATTTATTTATTTATTTATTCACTTAGTTAGTTTTGAGTAACATTTTATATTTTTATTTAAAAATATAATATTTAATAATTTTTTAATTGTATGTTAATATTTATTTATTTTAGTGATGGAATTTTCTGCAGTTCCAAAGTTCTCGTATGGATGTTCAGTAATATTTCTTAATTTTTAAATATATTTGTGACAACTGTGATATTTTATGAATAGAAATTTCTTAATAGAATTAATTTGAAATATGTATCATTTGTAAAAGTGTTTAAAGTCAGTTTGATTAGTTTAATTAGGGTGATTCAAAAAGAATACCACAGCATAAAAAAAAAATCTTTATTTAATCAAAGAAAAATGATGGAACCTTGAGTAATTAATCAATGTGAAGAGTATTTAACAAAGTTTTTTTTTTTTTTCAGTAGAAAACAAGTTCATAGATGTTCAATATGACCCCCTCCAGACACTCAAGTGCCATCAACCAGATACTCAAACTCATTCCAAACTCTTTGTAACATCTTGAGTGTACCAGTTGAGATAGCTGCAGTTATTCCTTCTTTTAGTTCCTCATTGTGAAACTTCAGAGCTTTCTTAAATCGACGACAGAAAGAGCTTAGCTCTCCTATTTTTCTCTGCAGCGTTCTCGATTTTCAAAGTTATGGTATTCTTTTAGAATCACCCTTTATTTATTAGAGTAGACTACAGTTAGCACTAAGCGTATTATAGATTGTTGGACAATTATTTAAAAACAAAATCTATTTGCCTAAAATTGAATTCAGTTCATTTAAATAATTTGTTTAATAATACACACACAAAAGTCTTTTTAAAAGTTTTATTTTAGTTGTAGTTTTTTTAATTAGAGCTGTCTGTTGTTATTATTTCATAATACATAAATATTACAGCACTTTTTCCAACCAATTTTAAGATAGATTATACTGCATGCTCCATTAGTAATATTCAAGAGCTTTTGAATTTGTAGGCTTCTAAATGTTTTTTCCATATATTTGAAATATCCCCAGGCATTCAAAATAAACATTCATTCATTCATTTGCCTTCGGCTTAGTCCCCTATTTATCAGGGGTCAGCACAGTGGAATAACCGCCAACTAATCTTGCATATATTTTACACAGCGGATGCCCTTCCAGCTGCAACCCAGTGCTGGAAAACACTTGTACTCTCTAACATTCACACTGGCACTCATACACTTTGGCCAGTTTTGTTTTACCTAATTCACTTATAGTGTATGTCTTTGGACTGTTGGGGAAACTGGAGCACCTGAAAAAAACCCACGTAAACATGGGCAGAACATGCAAACTTCACACAGAAATCCCAACTGGTCCAGCGACCTTCTTGCTGTGAGGTGATAGTGCTAACCACTGAGCCACAATGCCGCCTTAAAATAAACAATGAAATGTAAATTTCATTTCCCAGCACAAGACTGTACTGGGTTGTGGCTGGAAGCTACGTAAAACATATGCCAGAGTAGTTGGCGGTTCATTACGTTGTGGCCAAAAAAAAAAAAAAGAATGGATGTAAATTCCATTTAGGTGGTCTTAGAAAAGGTTTCTTGATACCTTCGTCTCACACTCCTTTTATGTTTCCTTCAGGCTGATTCAGGAAGAGAAGGAGAGCACAGAGCTTCGTGCTGAAGAAATCGAGAGCAGAGTCAGCAGCGTGGCTCTGGACGGGCCTCCCATTCCACCGACCTCTCTGGGACGGGACAGCACAGGACGGGGCTTCATCCCCCCATCCCTCACATCCTCCACCCTGGCTTCACCCTCTCCGCCCAGCTCTGGGCACTCCACACCCCGCCTGCCCCATTCCCCCGCACGCGAGACAGACAGACAGGCAAGAGCGAGCGTGTGCTGGATTATTAACAAGTCCTGCTGTTACACTTAAATATCATCATGTTAAAAGCTGATGGTGTTTATCTTCTGCTCTTCAGAACAACAAAGAGGACGACAGGTCTCTGGCCTTACTGGACTCCACCCCTCCTCCCACCCCTCGTGCGCTACGATTGGACAGGATGACACACACTCACCCTGGTGCATTGCTGGATGACAGTCGCGAGTTTCGCAGGTGTGTTTATCAACCCGGCCCATTATAAAGCAGTGGTCAAACGTTTGAGATCAATACGATTTTTTTTTTAATTTGCAATGAAATTGAAATTTACACTTCTTGTTTTTGTGTTCATAAACTTTTTATAAACTGTGCACTTCATTATTTTAGTGCAAATATTTTTGCCCTCATAAACTTTAATCAAATACAATAATCTTCCCTCCTTTTCAAAATGACTTTGTTCACTTTCTGGTCACATGGATTTACATTAGGTCAGGAATGTAATTGGTGTCTTGTTTCTGCCCTGAATTCGTCCATTTGTCAATCTTCCTTCATTTTGTTGGCAATGACTATCTTTCAACAGTTCAATCAGTTCCCAACGAATGAAATCATGCACTGCTCTACGTTTTTTATTTATTTCAAGATTGTTTTAAGTGCATTTAAGTCATGATAATAGAGAAAAAGCACAATCTTAACTTCCATTTTTTTGCGACTTTAATGTTTTTAAAAGAAGTCTATTCTGCGCACCAAGGCTGCATTTATTTGATTAAAAATACAGTAAAAGTCAAATATAAATGGGTTAAGTCAGAATTATTAGCCCCCTTTTTATTAGTTCTTTCATTTTTAAGTATTTCTCAAATGATGTTTAACAGAGAAAGGAAATTTTCACAGTATCTCTGATAATATTTTTTCTTCTTGAGAAAGTCTTATTTGTTTTATTTTGGCTAGAACAAAAACAGTTTAAAAATTTTTAAAAAACATTTAAAAGTCAAAATTATTAGCCCCTTTGAGCTTTATTTTTTGATAGTCTTACAGATCAAACCATCGTTATACAATAACTTGCCTAGTTAACCTAATTAACCTAGTTAAGCCTTTAACTGTTAAGCTGTATAGAAGTGTCTTTAAAAATATCTAGTCAAATTTTATTTATTGTCATCATGGCAAAGATAAAATAAATCAGTAATTAGAAACGAGTTATTAAAATTATTATGTTTAAAAAAATTTTGAAAAAAAATCTTCTCTCCATTAAACAGAAATTAGGGGGGAAAAAAAAATAATATATATATATATATATATATATATATATATATATATATATATATATATATATATAAACATTTATATATTAATATTATTGTTTACTGTTTTGATTCCATAATATTATATTTCATTATTTTTTATTTTTTTATTTTATTCACTATTTTGATTCCATTATATTATTTTTTGTTATGTTTTATTATTGTATTGATTTTATTGAAATAATACCAATGATCAAGGATCACAGTGATCAGTTCAGAGGATCAGAGAATGTTTTACATTCTAGAAATCTTAAAATAAAATAATCCTTAATTTTAACCTTGTTAAATACTAAATATCTCTCTTTCATGAACAATTTATGTGTTTATTGCTAAGTAAAGGTAAATACACTTTTAATGGGGCTTTTGAATGGTTCTTTATCACAGTTTCCACTCAAATATGCAGCTTAAGAGTTTGCAAAACTGACAATAATAAATACTTCTAGAGCAGCAGATCATCATATTAGACGGAACTTTGAAGAATCATGTTACACTGAAGTAATGATACTGAAACTTCACAGGAATCAATTAAACTATTGATTAATTACATTCAAAAAGAAAGTGTAAAAATGTACAATTCATTTAAATGATAATAACATTTCACAATTTTACAGATTTGAAATTTTGACCAAATTAATGTGGCTTTGGTTAACAGAATACACTTATTTTTTGAAACAGAAAAATGACTTTGACTGATTGTGTACATCCTTGCACAGGACTATTTTGAGCTTGCACTGTACAAAACGTCTTTCCCTTTATGCTTCAGTCTAAATATTTTTGCACAAGTGAAGTGACATGTCTCTGTGGATTGCAGCCTCTCAGCTGATGGCAGCAGTTCAAACAGCAGCCAGGACTCCCTCCACAAGGCCAGTAAAAAGAAAAGCATCAAGTCTTCCATTGGTCGGCTCTTTGGAAAGAAGGACAAGGTCCGAATGGGTCAGCCTGGGCGTGAATCAACATCTCTGGGTGAGTCGAAATGAAATAACACTGCAAGAAAATCAAGTGATATTTTAAAATGATTCTGAAAAAGCCTTCACAAAGTTAGAAACATATGTTAATGACACTGGATATATTAAAGGGCTGAGTGACATTTTGGTTAAGTAAAGAATATCTTATAACATTTATGTTTGTCAAAGTCATTGAACAGGACTTGCTACATGCTAGTTGATTGCTTATCAATATCATTATTTGACTATTGATATTAGCATAAATCATCATTTGATCATTCAGATTTGCTGAAAAAGAAAATTGTAATATCATTTCCTTCGTATTTTGATTTTTTAATATATTTCTGGCAGCATTATTTTTATAAATATGAAGTTCAGAAAAGCTAAATGTATTTGAAATAGATATCATCAATGCATACTGTCATCTAAAACTTTAAAGAGCAGTGTAGTGTATTGTATATCTGAGTCGAAGTGTAGTGTAAATCTGCAGAAAGTGCATTTTGAGAACATAAACAAACAATTCAATCGTATCTAATTAAATGTTAAATATATTTTTAAGAAATAAAAGAAGTTGTATATACATAATAATTCAATATTAATATTGAACAATACAATTAAGGATGGAATTTTAATGAGGCATTGATTGTTTCTTTAGTATGCATTGTTTAGTAAGTGATTTCTTTAGTTTCTGGTAAACAGATTTCTGTAATAAAAGATAGGAGAGGGATTGCCATCACTCTTAACCTTTGTGTGTTACTCAGCCTCAACCCCTTCAGATGACTTGGGCACTGTGGATCCCCTCGGACTCACTAAGATGGCCGGTCCGGTAGACAAGGACCGGCGCAGCAAGAAGAAGTATGTTATACTCCTTCCTCCCTTCTCTCTCAGTATGTAAGTCTTTCTGTTGAATGAGCACCTCTTTCTTTCTTTAGGCATGAGCTGCTGGAGGAAGCATGTCGACAGGGTCTGCCCTTTGCATCCTGGGATGGACCCACTGTTGTCTCCTGGCTGGAAGTATGACTCCATATCTTACCAGTCTTGCTTAAAATGTTTAATTTAATTTAATTTAATTTAATTTAATTTAATTTAATTTAATTTAATTTAATTTAATTTAATTTAATTTAATTTAATTTAATTTAATTTAATTTAATTTAATTTAATTTAATTTAATTTAATTTAATCTAATTTAATTTAATTTAATTTAATTTAATTTAATTTAATTTTTAGTATTTTTATTCGATTATATCAATTATATTTTGTTGTTTTAGCTCCAACAATTATTCATGTTTTATCCTTTTTTATTCAATTTTTTTTATTCCATTTTATTATATTTTTTAATGTCTTATTATTTTATTTAAGTTTATTTTATTCACATTTTTTATTCCATTGTATTATACTTTTATGTTTTATTATTTTTATGATTCTTTTGTTTCTATTGAACTGTTGAGCACTCCGGTGAGCACCTATTATTCCTTAAAAAGTGCTTTAAAAATGAACTTTGATAAGTTGCATTGAATCTAATTAATATTTTATTTAAATTTCCCTCTATCTGCTTCTGTTCTATGTTACTTCTATGTGCTATATGAGACATATTGGTAACACTTTAAAATAATGGTGCATTAGTTAATGTTTATTTACTAACCTTAACTATGAATAATCCTCTAAAGCAGAGACCATTATTTTGGACCATTATTTTAGTGTTACTGACGTATTTTGTACATCTCTCCTCTCTCTCTGTCAGCTGTGGGTGGGCATGCCGGCGTGGTATGTAGCAGCATGTCGTGCAAACGTGAAGAGTGGAGCCATCATGGCAAACCTGTCTGACACAGAGATCCAGAGAGAGATCGGCATCAGTAATCCTCTGCACCGCCTCAAACTGAGACTGGCCATTCAAGAGATGGTGTCCCTGACCAGCCCCTCAGCCCCGGCTAGCACACGCTCCGTACGCTTACATGCACTCACATATGCTTTAATACAATGTTAAATTTGATCATTATACAGTGGGGTCTAAATGTCTGAGACTATAAATGAAAATAGTTTTGTTCCACAGTGTATTAAATTTAATACAGTATATTCATAACAAATAAGATTTTCAGCAAAAACAGCCTGACTTTAAAATTAAAATTTTGGGGATTTTTATTCTTTTATGAAAAAGTCTAATATAAAAATAGTACTTTAATAAATTATAACTGATTTAAAATAACTGTTTTCCATCATATATAAACTCACGGCCTCTTTATTAGGTACACCTTACTAGTACCGGGTTGGACCCCTTTTTGCCTTCAGAACTGGCTTAATCCTTCCTGGCATGAATTCAACAAGTGACTGGAAAATTCCTCAGAGATTTTGCTTCATATTGATATAATAGCATCACGCAGTTGCTGCAGATTTGTTGGCTGCACATCCGTGATGCAAATCTCTCGTTCCACCGCATCCCAAAGGTGCTCTATTGCATTGAGCTCTGGTGACTGTGGAGGCCATTTGAGTACAGTGAATTCATTGTCATGTTCAAGAAACTAGTCTGAGATGATTCACGCTTTATGACATGGTGTGTTATCCTGCTGAAAGTAGTTATCAGAAGATGGATACACTGTGGTCATAAAGGGATGGACTTGGTTAGCAACAATACTCAGGTAGGCTGTGGCGTTGACACGATGCTCAGTTGGCACTAATGGGCATAAGGTGTGTTAAGAAAATATGCCCCAAACCCTCACGCCACCAGCAGCAGGCTGAACTGTTAATACTGGGCAAGATGGATACATGCTTTCATGTTGTTAAGGCCAAATTCTAACCCTAATGTCGCAGTAGAAGAATCATTAGAACAGGCAACGCTTTTCCTATCTTCTATTGTCCAATCTTGGTGAGCCTGTGCCAATTGTAGCTGCACTTTGCTGTTCTTTGCTGACAGGAGTAGCACCTGGTGTGGTCCTCTGGTGATGTACTGTAAAACATCTAACTCAAGGATAAAAATGTTGTGTGTTCAGAGATGCTCTTCTGCATACCTTAGTTGTAACGAGTGGTTATTTGAGTTCTTGTTGCCTTTCTATCAGCTGTAACCAGTCTGGCCATTCTCCTTTGCCCTCTGGCATCAACAAGGCATTTGCACCCACATAACTGATGCTCACTGATATTTTGTCTTTCTTGGACAATTCTCTGTAAACCCTAGAGATGGTTGTGCATGAAAATCCCAGTAGATCAGCAGTTTCTGAAATACTCAGACCAGCCCATTTGGCACCAACAACCATGCCAAGTTCAAAGTAACTTAAATAATCCTTTCTTCCCCATTTTAATGCTCGGTTTGAACTGCAGCAGATTGTCTTGACCATGTTTACATGCCTAAATGCGTTGAGTTGCTGCCATGTGACTAGCTGATTAAAAATTTGCGTTAACCAGCTGTTGGACGGGTGTACCTAATAAAGTGGCCGGTGAGTGCATATCATATTTGTGTGTATTCATGTGAAAGCTTGTTCCAGAACTTTAGTCATTGCTCCAGTATTCAGTGGCATGAAAACATGCCAATTTTAGTGGTCAGGAAATATATTTATATATTAATAAACATTCTGTTGTGCTGCTAAGTATCTTTGTAAAAAACATAAACATTTTTCAAGGTTGTTAAAATTACACTAGTTATATTTTAATCGATCAAAATGATTATATGAAATATTTATTGTTTTCAGTTTGATGGATTTTGAACATTAATTTCCTTCAGAAACTTTCATTTACTGACCCCAAACATTTGAACAGTAATGTAAATGTCAGAATGTTCGGATCTGTGTTCAAGTTGACTGGGATGATTTAAAAATCATATGATTACTTTGTTGTGCTTATTAAAATAGCATAAAAGTCCTCATTTACAGCAGAGTTGGCCACATACAAAGATTCAGAAGCAACAAATGCTTAAATATGTAATTATCATTCCAAGTTTGTACAAAACAGGACTTGCACCTGAATTATGATTGACACCAAAGCATTAGCTTAGCATAGTATAGAAAGGTAACTATCATACACTTTTCATATTGACTTTTTTCGACCAAAGTAATATTACAGATACCCATACAGTATCTCATTTTAGTTTGTGATTTCAGCAAATCCACCTTTGAATGAGGTGCTTCACAGATTGCCAACTTGAAATGTTGCCATGTCCTCGGATTTTAAGAAAAGCTCATTATTAATTTTTGGGCTTAAAGGATCCAGTTAATGAGGTTAATAAAGTAGTCAGGTCTAGATCATGATCTGTTGGTATGTGAATTATTTTCAAGATAAAAATTTTGTTGTTTTGTTTTGTTTTGTTTTCTAACAAGATCTAGCAACACTAATTAGCCGAGACATACATCATTCCTTGTATTATACTTTTAGAAGAGAGACACGACTCTGATACATGTTTAAATATGCTATTAATGACTACTTATTCAACATGCATAGAAGTTTTGTAAATGTGGTTGCCACTACCAGATTTTTTATAGGGGAGTTATTTCATTTGTTAAAATACTGTATGTTGTGTCGACAGAACTGGATTAAATATATGACCTATAAGTGATTTCAGACATTTTCACCCCACTCCCCATTTTTCTACTGAACAATAATCCTGATATCTGTACTGTGTGTGTTTGTGTTGTTTTTTTTCTTGTCTTACACAGTCCACCAGTAACGTGTGGATGACCCACGCTGAGATGGAGTCCCTGACTGCAGCAACCAAACCAGTTAGTAACCTTTTGTTGTATTTCGTCAGTACTTTTTGTTAACATTGCTTTTATTTATTTACCAGTTGCTGTTACTGTAAACCTTATTGTCCCCTTTTGGGGCAATTTGTTCTGCAGCATACTAGATTTACAACCCATATATCATACCACACATTTAAGACAAACATTAAACAACATTAATAGTATCAAAAACAGCAACTACCTCTTTCCATTAAAATTCAGCAAATCAATCACATAAAGGACAAATGAAAATTTAAATCTGTTGGTCCTTGCAAAAGAGACCCTATACAGAGATCCAGAGATAAGTATTTGAAATAAATGAAAAAGAGGATGGGATTTATCAGATGGAATCTGATGGGCTTTCTTTAACATTTGGATTTCATACAAATAGGATAACCTCGGCACTTTTACCTCGGCACTTTTGAGTTCTTCTGTTTTACTTTTGAAAAAGCAAAACAATAAATCAATGAAAAGGAAAAATGGATTCTACATAGGCCTTATGAAATGCCACCATTAGAGTCTTATCAATATTAAACTTTGCAAATTTTCACTGACAACAAAGTGTTTGTTGGTCTGTCCTACATAGTCTTTCAGTATTTGCTTTAAAATTTAATGTATTATCAATCATAGTTTTGTGTTCAGATGTAGAAGAGTCTCTCAACACCAATTTGTAAAATACCTAACAACAGGTTCATCTTCTCCCTCCTTACAAACCAACAAATTTACAATTACGGTGTCATCCGCAAACTTAAGAATGTACCAATGTTCAAAGTGACTATGACACTCATTTGTGTCAGGATGATTAGGATATAGATGTGCCGGGATATAGTATATAGGATGTACCAGTTTGCATCAAGCAGATGTGACAGATCTGAATAATGTGCGCTTAAAATGCATTTAAATGAATAGTTCACCCATAAATTTCCCAGTCAGTACCATTTGCAGAAGTTGTGGATCAAAGGTGACAGGACTGAGTTTATTGCATAGGCGGATCTTGTCACTACAGTACATAAAACCTGAAAATGTATATTCACACTGTTAAAATTGCTTTTCTTACTTAGACACTTTTTGTCTTGTTTTTAGTCCGAATATTTAACCAATAAGCATTTTCTAGACAAGCAAAACATGTTGTCATGTTTTAAGGAATAATATGATAATATTAAGTTTTTCTATTAATCAAGCAAAATAATCTGCCAATGGGGTAAGCAAAACTCAAATGGAAAAACATGAATATTTTGCTCACCCCATTTGGCAGAATATTGGAGTGGTTTTATGAAAAAACTCACTAAATTTGGCATATTGCTTCTTCAGACAAAACAATATTTTTTGTTTGTCTAGAAAATGCTTTTTAATTTTAGAAGATTTTTAGGCTATAAACTAAGTAAAATCTAAGTAAGAAAAAGCATTTATTTTGTTTTATTTATGTTATTATTTTTTCTTTGTGTATTAATTTAGTATTTGCGGCACGCCATGGGTCTCAAACTCAATTCCTGGAGGGCCACAGCTCTACAAGGTTTTGCTCCAACTCTAATCAAGCACAGCTGATTCAACTAATTGGGTTGTTCAAGACTACTAGACTACTAGTAGACTAGACTATTATTAAGCAGGCGTGATTTGAAAGTGCTTGGAGCTAAAACCCAGCAAACAATTTAGTGTTTAATAGACATCCAATAGACACCTAAACAGACAGCTTGGCCAAAACAAGGCTAAACTTGGGTTGTCAGTGAAAATCAAATAGACATCTAAGAAAAGCTTAAAACTAGACTAGCCATCAAATAGACAGATTAGACAGAATTTATACGTGTAGTCATTCATTTCTCTTTATTTGATGACTAGTCTTGTTTTAGCTTATTCGTAGACGTCTATTAGATTTTCATTGAAAGCCCAAATTCAGCCTTGTTTTAGCCTAGACGACAATGTTTAGACGTCTATTGGACATCTTTTAAAAACAAAAAATGCTTGCTGGGAATCTGCAGGGCTGTGGCCCTTCAGGAATTGAGTTTGAGACCGCCGCTGTACTGTATACTATGTTTACTTGACTTTAAAAGTGCAAATAGGCCTTGACTTGGTTTTCATGAATGACAAAGCAGCAGTAGCAAATAAAAACACTCTTTAATATAACACAAAAGAAGTGGGGAGGAAACTAACAACATTTTTGGGTGAGCTATCTCTTTAAGAAATTAGAATTTTCATTAAAAAAACCTTGTCCTACAAACACTTCCAAAGGATTTTCCTGTAATACTGTGTTCATTTTGTTCTGTGCTAATTAGGACATGTTATTGTTGTTTTATTTATTTATTTATTTATTGTGTGTGTAAATTTGACATAGCTACAAATAGAGTCCATTCTTGTGGGATGGTAAAGCGCTCTGCCCCCTAGTGGACAGTATGCGAGGCATCATGAGGAGAGAGTGGAGTGCTCATGTGTTGATGCGTCTCTCTCTTTCTCTCTCCCCCTCTGTGTGTCCGGCTAGGCTGTAGCGTTGAACATCCTCAACTTTCCCTCTTTTTTCTGTTTCAGTGTGAACTGCTTCCAACTAATGACCCGGTCACTAACAAACTGTTCCTCCCTTTGTACCTCTTCTTCCTGCTTTTCTCCCTCTTTGCTCTTTTCTTTCCTCTTCCTGTCCATCGGTGTGTCTTTCCTGCCGTCCCTCTGCTGCGCTCCTTATCTCCTCTTCCTCACCTCTCTGCTATCATGCTGTCACCTCCACGCACAAGGAGCTGAAAGAGATTAGCTGGGATCAGGTGAGTAACGTCAATATGTCCATTAAACACTTTTTGTAGCTGATGGATCAGATAGTTCCCATTCAATTATGTTCAATTAGACCCTATATCAAGTGTGTGTGTGTGTATGTGTGTTGCAATCACAGAGTACCACAATTCTTTTTTTCCCCTTGTTGCGCTTGAGATAAATAATTGTACATTTCTGATGCACTGAAATGTTTGATTTAAAATTCCTAATTGTTAGTATCTTAAATATTTATTGAATAAATACAGTGCTCAGCATAATTGAGTACCCCCCTTTTTTGAAAGTGAACATTTTTTATCTATTTCTTAGTGAATGTAGGTAATATATTTTGGTGCATTTAAAAATTATTTATTAAAATAATATTTTAGTCAGCCTACATCTTTAGAAACAGAAAGATAATACATTTAAATTCTAGCAAATAATTGTAAAAAATGATTACAAACTACAGAATGTAAATTGCATTTGATTCTTTTTTTCGTTTCTCTTGATTCTTCCTCTTTTTTATTAAGTTTGTATCTAATATGTTTCTATAACATATAAATTTGACTGCTAGATTTTAAACCATTGTTGTAAATTATTTTGTTAGATTAGCTGTAGATTTGACTTCAGGACTGATTAAACTAATGTGTATGCACAAATATAATATTGTATAGCTTCCTATTAAAAATATAAATTTATTTTTGAGGGGTGTATTTGCTGTTCAATATAACTGCAACAGCATGTAAAAATACTATATAAATGTTTAAAATAAAATGGAGTTTTACATTTCTATTGTTTAAAGTAATTATTATTTTTTTACATTTTGCATTAAATATAGAGAAAACAATAAATTAATGTATAAAATGTAAATTTGTAAACAGTATATTTATATTATTTTGTTTTAAAATTGTAATAAAATTTAATTATTATAATATCTATATGTTATAATATGTCTATATAATTATTAATAATATAGACAATAGTAGCATTTTTAGATTTTTGTTTGGACAAACTGGACAAAATATTTAGGACAGCCTTATATGCTTAATTTAAACTAGAGAAAAATATATTCATCCTAAAACATTAAATAAATGTTAGAGAAAACAAAAACAAAAAATTATTTCTCAAACATCAATATGTTGTTACAACACCAAATTATTTTATTAAATTATTAAGCAGACTTATTGGTTTTCTTGAAAAGTAATGCTTCAATTAATGATCGTCCAGATAAAACTTTATAATTCCAATCGTAATATGATTTTTTAGATTTATAAGCTTCTATCTGCATTTTGCCCTGTTATTTTTTTACCCCAATCTGCAAATTTAAGAGAATTTTGAAACATTTTGAGTACACTTTGAACTGTTACACACATATTGTTCACTGTATGGAATGCAAACACTCTGAAGCTCAATATCTCAAACGCATTTAGAACACAGATAGAGCCTTATAATTCCAAGGTGATGATTTTTCGTCTTGACTTTTTGTCAGTACATTTTTTTTTACAGTAAAGCCCTGAACTTCGATTTTTGCATGCATAAGCTCCACACTACAGTGAACAAACGTAAATACAGCTGCAAAAAAAGATGATTTTCCTTTCCTCCATGTTAGATCCTGGCCTATGGAGACATGAACCATGAGTGGGTGGGCAATGACTGGCTGCCCAGTCTGGGTTTGCCCCAGTACAGAAGCTACTTCATGGAGTCTCTTGTGGATGCCCGCATGTTGGACCATCTGACCAAGAAAGAGCTGCGTGGCCAGCTGAAAATGGTGGACAGTTTCCACAGGTAATGTCTGTTTTTCTCTCCCCATCAGTTAAATGCCGCCACACGCTTCATTACTCCTTCTCTTCATCAGTCTTAATCTCATGCTCACCTGATGCTCATCAGTTACTCTCAGGGTGCAGGTGTGTGTCTTTGGGCCTTTGCTAATCTCCAGTGTGCCTGGGGTCGGTTTTTGTAACACTTTTTTTCTTGGGGTGGAGGTCTTTAATGAATTTAGATAACCCTGTGACCTCTTTCTTTATCTGTGTGCTCTTTTGACCCACAGGGTGAGCATGCATTATGGCATCATGTGCCTGAAGCGCCTCAATTATGACCGCAAGGAGCTGGAGAGGAGGAGAGATGAGAGCCAGCACCAGAATAAAGGTTTTTAGCTTACTTGATTTTTTGTTTGCTAACAAATATGCCCAACTTTAAGTAGTATTAAGAAGTCCTTTTATGGGATTTATGTGCGCACTGTAGGCAGTCTGGTGAAAGAGGTGGTTCTTTCTCAAAAAGTGGACCTTATTGCAGTTACACACTTCATTTTCTATTTAATTATGAGGTTTAAATAATGACCATAGGTGACATTTTATCACAATTTATTACTTTTTATTATACTGTTTTACTGTTATACTGTTTATTTTTTAAGATACAAACTTATTACATCAAATATCATTAGTAAAAAAAGTTTTAAATTAAATATTTTTAAACCAATACTGTAGCGAAACATAACTTTGCTTATGTCAGACGTTTTCTTGCACAGCTGGATGTTGGACTCATGAAAAATATTTGTTTGGCCAAAACTGATTAACTGAAGACACACCAAGGTTCTGCTTGTTCCTGAAGCCTTTTTTAGTTAGTTTTTTGGGCCTGATATGATGCTGGTCTTGAGCCCAGATTGCAAAAAAAATTCTGTATTATTGTTTTGCTATCCATTCTATAATTCATTCATTTTCTTGTCGGCTTAGTGCCTTTATTAATCCAGGCTCAACACAGCGGAATGAACCGCCAACTTATCCAGCTCGTTTTTACGCAGCGGATGCCATTCTAGCCGCAACCCATACCTGGGAAAAATCCACACACACACACGCACTCACACTCATACACTACGGACAATTTAGCCTACCCAATTCACCTGTACCGCTTGTCTTTAAACTGTGGGGGAAACCCACGTGAACGCAGGGAGAACATGCAAACTCCACACAGAAACGACAACTAAACCAAGGTTCGAACCAGCGACCCAGCAACCTTCTTGCTGTGAGGCGACAGCCCAACCTACTGCGCCATATATATATATATATATATATATATATATAGTACCAAGGTACATTTAGGGGTGTCGTTTAGACGTCTATTAAACACTAAATTGTTTGCTGGGAAGGAACTCAGCCAAAGGAAAATGAATGAATGATAATAATATTCCACATTATTATTATTAATTATTATTATTTTTTTTATCATTTTGATCAGAAAAATGCAGCTTTGTTGAGCGTTAGAGACTTAAGTAAGCAACACAAACTTTTTTATACTTTTCTAAATGACACGCTGATCAAGCAGCTACATTTTGCATCCTGGGTTAAACCGATCTACCAGCTAGACCAGCACTAAACCAACATAAACCAGACCATGTTGCTCTAAGCTGGCCTAGCAGGAAATTCAGGATATTTTTCCCCAAGTCCTCTTTGGGTTTTATCATGTTAATCTTTTGGCTGTGCATCATCAATCAAATCATAGAGCAGAACAGTCTGATAAACACAACGCACAAAGGGAAAAGGCAACAACAGTCACCCGTGGAATGTACAGTTCATCAAAACATCGGACAGTGAATGAGAAAATGGCAGAGAAAGGAAGGGTGTTTACACAGAGTGCGTTTGTTTGTAATAACATACATTACTAGTAGTGACGTCTGGAAAGCGCTGAGCAGCCCAGCCTTCCATTATGAGCAGCATTCAGTGGCACAATAGACATTTCACATTTTGAAGAGCAGCTGATCAAAGCACAATGCACAGATCGCACTATTAATCTGCCAGTTGTTTTAAAGGTGCAGTCGCTGCCTCATTCACTACCTTGATTAGAAACAGATGCCTTCGCTGATCTACAAGTTATTCATCGCATAGCAACACAGATGCCTTCATGCCATTTGAGACTATATTAAGCTTGAGTGAATGACTTTTGCATGCACACATCTCTCCATGCAATACTTAGGAATGTAAAGGGGATTTTAGAAAGCACAGATCCTTTTTATAAAGCCGTTTAATGGAGTTTTAAGACGGTATAAAAATTTATTTTAACGATATGTGTTATTATATTGTGATGCCTGAGTTAAGGTGTATCTTTAGAAACAATTGATTTAGCATTTTTTATAAATATAATTTCTAATTAAATAACTATTTAATTGCCATTTATGTATTTTTTTTATGAATGCGTCACCAAATACAAAGCATAAAATGCTCTAAAACAATCAGTAACCTGCTATTTTAGAAATTTTTGTTCTTTCTATTTAAAGATATAATTATAAACTGTGGCTACCCCGTGTAATGTGAAGTGATGCTGACAACAGGGATGCAGATCCAAACGCAGGTTTATTGAGTGGTCAGGCAAGCAACGGTCACAATCAGGAGCAAAGAAATGTATGAAGGCAAATCTAGAGTCATGGTCATAAAACAGGCGGATGGTCAAACAGGCAGGAAGCAGACAACATAAACAAACAAACAAGGCGAGGAAAACGTGTTGTAATGTTCACACACAGTATAACAAGACTCCGCAATGGGGGTGTCGAAGTGAGCTGTAAATATGTGAGTGTTACATGTAAATATGTAATCAGTCCATGAGCAGCTTCAGCTGTGGGAGTCTAATCAATGGGAAACTGAAACAGGTGTGAGTGTGTGGTGCATGACTGGAGCTTGCAGTCAATATACCGACAGATTTGTAGTTCTATGTAATCTGAGTTTACCCGTGATCTGTAAGGATCTAATTCTTACAGATCACTGGTGATTGTGACACCAAGACAGTCTTTTCCTCCTCATTAGTCCCGGTGTTAGCTTTGGTCTTGTTCATATACTATTATTGCAATATTCATGTTTTGAATCATGTCTGTTCATGGTTTGACAGTTTTTTTATTGAATTTTTGCAATTTTGGAGGATTTTAACATCATAAAAACAACACTACATTAAATGAAACAAAACTTAGCTTTCCATCAGTTTTGTTTCAATAAACCAGCAATACAGCATTCATGTCACTCTTTAACAGGAATGCACAAGTATCTAAAGAGACTACTTTATTCTGCCCCAGGGGGAAAATAGCAAGTTTACAGTTTAACAGATGAACCTAAACCTCTGTTGCTAATTGGATAACAATACTTTATAACCAGTAAAGTAGGAATGTTGAGTTACTTTGTTGCAGTTACATGTAATAGCTAATTGTATTATGCAGAGTATTATTAATGAGAGGAAGAGAGAGAAAGAGAAAGAAAGAGATTGACTGAGCAAGTCTGTATACCTGTTTCTGCATACATTTTCTTGTCAGCCTTAATTCTTGTCTGCTGGTCAGTGCACTGGCTTTATTAAAAGTACAATCAAAGGCCTTGTTTACTGCTAAAATATTTCAAATATATTACATAAATACATTTTATGACTATAGATTAATATACATGTTTTTGGAAATACAGCCTGCAAATGTAAAAGGTTTATTGCTTGTGAAGGTCCACACCTCACTTTCATTTTCTCTTTCACAAGCAGGAGAAAAAGTTTTGTCATGCACTGAAAATGTTGTTTTGAAAGGCATATCTGATGTAAAGTTGTTTATGCCATCAGGCAGTGATGTTTTTGTTAGCAAGAAGTTGCTAGGCAACTGAGGCACACATATTCAAAGTCACAGTCAGGGAAAAGTAGCAGAGACTGACTGCTATGGCAATTAAAGGTAATAATACTCATAGCTCTTTTGTTTCGAGCCAGTTCAGTCTTAAAATAATACATTTCCGAATGTTCTTCATGCATGAAAAGCACAATTTAGATTTACAAAATCAAATTTTTATATTTTAAAAACACAATTAATAAACACAACATAAAATTTGTGAATTCACAAATACAAATATTTAAATATTTTTGCCAAATGAATTGGATCTGTGTATTTATGAATGGTGTTTTGAATTTACAAATTGTATTTGTGTACTTAAAAATTGTGTTTGGGCGAGGCAGTGGCGCAGTAGGTAGTGCTGTCGCCTCACAGCAAGAAGGTCGCTGGTTCGAACCTCGGCTCAGTTGGTGTTTCTGTGTGGAGTTTGCATGTTCTCCCTGCATTCTCATGGGTTTCCTCCGGGTGCTCCGGTTTCCCCCACAGTCCAAAGACATGCGGTACAGGTGAATTGGGTGGGCTAAATTGTCGGTAGTGTGTGAGTGTGTGTGTGAATGTGTGTGGATGTTTCCCAGAGATGGGTTGCGGCTGGAAGGGCATCCACTGCGTAAAAACTTGCTGGATAAGTTGGCGGTTCATTCCGCTGTGGCGACCCCTGATTAATAAGGGGACTAAGCCGACAAGAAAATGAATGAATAAATGAAAACTTGTGTTTTTAATTGTAAATTGTATTGTGGATGTATGAATTATATTTTGTAAATGTATAATTTTTGAAACTTTTGTGTTTTATCATTTTAATAAAATAATACTGTAAGAAAGAAATATACACATTTTTAGGAAAACTCGGTGTGTTAATAGATATGTGGGTTTTATTTTAACAATGTTATTAAATTACTAAATTTAACCGCCTCTGCAGTTCTATTGTTAATTCACAGGTAGATCCAGCCACTTTTGACTATAGTAAACTCCAAATTTCTGGAACGAATTTAATGGTGAATTCAATAAAGCGTTGTTCACACAGGCAAGGACGTTCTGGAAATTTTTCTGGAAAACACCATTCACACATCCTTTCCAAAGTACCAGTAAATTCTGACATCATTAACCAGAAATGAGCTCTAAACAAAAGCACTTGCATTTGTATTTTATTTTCATAAACAGCATGTAAATGCTCCTGAATGTTCTGACTGGCTGGAGTAGATGTCTCTCGTAAATGTTTTAATAATAAACGTGTTTATTCCAGCAATTTTCCTTCTGTGTTCACTCAGAGCTGCATTCCAGCAAATTACTGGTAATGTTACAACTTTTATTATTGTAAAATACTGACCGGTATTTCAAAAAGGGCCTGTTCACACATGATCCTTTTCCGGAAAATTAACAGTAACCTGTTACTGAGCTATTAGATATTCGCATGTCATTTACACGCACATACAACCTCTCTCTTGCTCCCTCTCTGTCTGCCTATGACTGATTCAAAGCAGGGACTGGAACACTAACATGTCGTAACTAACAAAAATCTGGTCATATTTTGCAGCAATGAGCAAAACTAGGTTTAACTGGTCTAAACCTGCACAAATAATCACAAAATAAGCAGGATAATCAATGGCTTGCTGTGCTTTTATGGTTTTTAAATGCACTTCAGACAGTCCCTTATACATATAATTTAGAGAGAGATAGAGAGAAGTCATTTATATAAGTATATATAATTTTCAGTTAATTAGTTACACTGCAGTTAGCAACAGTTATTTTTAGTAGTTTATTTTAACAAATAGTTAACAACGCTGCCTAAACCAGACCCTTAATTCATGACACACTAACATCTATTGCTCTTCTGCCAGCAGACAGAAGTCTACAGAATATGTCATTACCTGCAGCTGTGTGGGCTGTTTTATATTTACCAAACGGTATTAACACTGTAAATGATTCAAGAAGAACAGTTTGACTGTTTGCCATGATTTCATTCCTTCCTTTCAACTTGGGTTTGGAGAAGCTGAGTCAACAAAACCAATTCAAAGCCCACGGAATCCTCTGGAAATACAAAGCAGAGACAAAGACTTTGGCTAAAAACAAAAACACGTGTGTTCAAATGCGCATTGGCTATAATAGGTCCATCTATGAGATCAGATGCTACTGACACAAAAGATGAAATCCAGAGTCATCACTCAAGATGCTGTGCTGCCGTTGAGTGGTGAACAGCCTCCTGGAAGTCTGTTCACTGTCTGGTGTTTGTGTTTCTGCTGTAGATGTGATGGTGTGGTCGAACGAGCGTGTGATGTGCTGGGTTCAGTCCATCGGCTTGAAGGAGTACGCAGATAACCTGACTGAGAGCGGTGTTCATGGAGCGCTGTTGGCCCTGGATGACACCTTCGATTACACTGACCTCGCACTGCTCCTGCAGATTCCCAATCAAAACACACAGGTACAGAGACAAGACTGTGCACTAACACTCATTTATTAAAACATGACCTCAAAGCAATGGTTCTCAACCACCACTCCCCTCCCCCCAACCCACTCCTTAAGGCTGAGTTATACTTTCGCCTGGTGCCGCGTTGCGCAACTCTGCTGACTGCGATTACGCCTCACGAAACAAACGAGGCTTTTATACTTGACACATTCGCTGAAATTCTTTAAAACAACAGAGGGCGATCAAAAGAAACTGAACGTAAAACAGAATAACATCATATCATTAAAATTGTTGAATTTATTTATTTTTATTTATTATTTTTATAAGATTTTTATAACCATTTAAGTTTTTTTTTAATCAAACTTTAATGCATCACTTGCTTTTGTTCATATCTCGGCCAGTTTGACCTATTAAAGTTTATTGAAATGTTAATTCCCACAGAACATGGGTTGCTCTACAAATATTTTTTTATTATGGCAAGAATAAAAGCAAAAAAGTACACTTAACAAAAAATAGAGATGTTTTTTTTTTTTTAGATTTAGCCCACTTAACAATTGGCACTTTACTGTCTGGCTAGTTTCTGTCCTATACTTGTGCTAAAAAGGCAATAATGGTCCAACACCATTATCATTATCCCCATTATCACCAATAAAGCCTTGAAAAAAGGGCATCAGTATACTGTAAACCAATGGGTTCAAACATTCTTTTCCAGTTATCAAAGAAATAATTTGTTACTTAGTTTTGTAACTTAAATTGTTTTAAATTCAAAATTGTAATATATATATCAGTGTAAAACCTATAAATGGTTGAATAACATATTTCTGTAATTGTGTGCCTGTGTCTCCACATTTGCCATGGCCTATTTTTGCAATAGCAAACTTATCCAAACATTATCCAGTTTTCCAAACATTTTAACAAAAACTTTGCTGCTTTCTCACTGATGTTGCACTTTCTATTCATATTCAACTGTAATCAAATGCGGCACCGCGCAAACTGTTCGCATAAGTCTTCAAAAATTTTGAAATCATGTCGCGCGCACCCAAAGTGAATCTTTGCAGACCCATCAACAACATCACATTCGCCACATGCACTCAATCGAAGTAGCGAATGCGTCAATTATAAACCAGGCTAAAGTCAAACACACCTAATTCAACTCATTACAAGAGACTTAAGGAATTATTTTGGGTGTGTAAGACAAAGAAGACTTTAGGAACATGGTTGAGAACCACTGCCTTAAAGTGATAGTTCACCCGAGAATTTGCTGTTCATTTACTCACCCTCAGACTGTCCAAAATGTCCAAAATTTTTACCGTTTGAAAGCCCATAATATTTTATTTGTTTTGTAAGATACTAGTATTCTGCAGTTCAATTTACATAGGTCAATTAGATTTAGGCAAGTTCAGTAATTTATTCCTCAATTAGGAAATCATTGGACAAAAGTGGTTTGTTCTGTAGATAATTTAAAAAGAGGGCTAATAATATTGACCTTAGCTTGTTTTTAATAAAAATAATGATAATTGTAGACCAGGGGTGTCAAACTCAGTTTCTGAAGGGCTACATCCCTACACAGTTTACTTCCAACCCTGCTTTAACACACTTATGCCACTGCACTTTTCGTTCCATAGACTTCTATTCATACGCAATCAAATGCGGCAGACGGAAACGCAAGCCCGTCTGAAGGTTTGCATGTCACTGCATTGGAAAAAAATGGATTTTAAGTTAACTCAACTTTTTATTTTTTACAGCTTAATGCTTTTTTTGGTCTCACATAGTGATAGTATTAAATACTTTATTTTAAAGTTGTTTTTGTGCTATCTCATGCTTTCTCAATAATTTAATGAATTTAAGCTAACTTAAATGATTGCAAAGTTAATGGTACTAATATCAATATGCTCAAAAACATCAATTTAACATAAAATATTTAAAACACCAAGAAAACATTTGTTGACATTTCAAAAAAGCACGTTCACAGTGATTTTGTATGGATGTAGAGAGACTGCATGAATAAAACTGAAAACAATAAGAGCTTCATAGCTGAAAGCTTTGGAAGTACACATTATTCCCGACCCGTCCGCATTAGTTAACATGTAAGCTTTGTTTATTCCACATGCAGGCACGACAACTTCTGGAGAAGGAATACAACTCCCTCATCTCAATGGGAACAGAAAGGAGGCCAGACGAGGTGAGCATCGTGGGATGTTTACCTCCTACCACCCAAATACACTCTGAAGTCTAATGACACTCCTCTCACAGGGGCTGTTTGTGCTTTCCGGTTCTTTGGTTTTGAATTGCTGAATTCATTTTCTTAATTGTTTTATTTATTTTTTGCCTTTGTCTTGCGCTTAGTTGGGGTTAATAGAGAGCTGCCCTACATTGAATTACATCCTTTAACATTCTCTGAAATAAACTGATTCATCTGTGTACTAACTAGAACAAAACCACCATTCTGTGTAAAGTCAGCAATGTGTTTCTACACTCAAAAAACAACTTTTTCTGCTTGTTTAGACTACTTATTCAAAATGAGTCGAAACAACAATATTCTTATGTTTTTTGGCACAGCTTAATTGTTTTATGTTTCATCCACTTAAATTTGTTAAAAAGATTGAGTTAACTTAAGTGATTTGTATTGGGACAACGTGAAGAAATTTGTGTGAAACAGCATTTTTAAAGTGTAAAGCATGTTTGCGAGAAAAAAAGAATTGCTTTACAAGAAAAACACAATGCGTGAAACCAACAAAAGAAGCATGGATCGTATAAGAAAAGAAAAAAAGAGGAAGATAAAGATTAACACTAACCTTATCAAAAGCAGAGTTGGGTAACACGTTCCACAGTAATGCATTTTTGAGAAAATTAAAAATTTGTTTTAAAATTTGAATTGTGGCTTTTAGATAACATTTTCTGCTGCAACAGCAGTTAATAAGCATGTGCTTTTAAATTCCTGGAATTTAAGCTAAAATGGTTGCTGTCGAGACACTTTTCAAGTGGAAACACAGACATTACTTTGATTTTCCTGGAGTGTAAAAACTAAAATATTGCTGTGAAATGCAGTCTATGTCCAGTCTCTAAAGAACTTTCAACTGCTTTTATCTTGACCAGCAACTTGTTCAAACGCTTGAATAAAAAGCATTCTATGATAATACTGGCGTCCAAAAACACAGCGGCCCAACTCGGCCTAAACAGGTTAAATTGAATTTTTGTGCACAATCAGGAGTGAAGGTGTCTTCTGAATGTGAAGAGAAGCATTGCTGCTTATGGGGCTATTCACATATCGTGTCTTTTGCTTGTGCAAGTTTGTTATTTCCAATGGAGCTGCTAGCATTTTCCAGGCCTACCAGTTAAAAACTGCGAGTCACACTACTAGAACTGACCAATCAGCTTTATGCTTTGTATGGACATTTCGGTAGACTAATTACCAAACTAATTACTCAGACAAACATAGAACACCCACATACTGCAGTGCTTTTTTAAAGAATGTCAATGGTTACAGGTATCCAGTTTTCTTCTAAATGTTTTCTTTTGTGTGTTTGTGTGACAAACAGACCTGGAAGAAGTGAATGATGAGAGAATGTTAAGTTTTGGTTGAACTCTTTAAGTCTTTTAAATATGTCAAGCTACTGTGATTAACCCATTTTTTTCAGTGAGTAGTAAATTACTGAAAGAGCTGCAGTTTATTCTGTGTTTTTTATAATTATATTTTGTTTTAAAATTAACTTCAAAGTAAAGTGATTAGAAATCTGATTACTTTTTAGATGAAGTAATTAGTAATGTAATCAGATTTAAATTTTCCAGTTGAAATTTTCCATCAGTAATTTGTAATCTATTATTCTTTAAAAGTAACCTACCCAACACTGATCAAAATCCAGCGAAAGCAAATAAGGTTTAAGAGCAGTTTTAGTATAATTTCAAGAAAAACAATTCAGTTTCTGGGAAACTTCTGAAGTTTGGAAGCTGCAGTTGAAAAAGCTTGATCACTCTTAGTTTTAGAACATGGGACTGTAAAAAGAAGCGGATTACTAAGTGATCCCTGGGAGGTGAAGCGAATCACAAGGTCACATATATTTTGGTGCAAGTCCAGATAAAGCCTAGTACACAATATCAACTGTTTAAAAAAGTCTGAACTGTAGAGAAAGCCAATGTAAATATGCTAAAATTGAGAACACATTTCCTCTTTTATGTTCCGTTTTGGACAATCTGAAGGCAAGAAACTGCCATTTGAGGCATGGGCCACAGTAAAAGGAATTACAGTAATCTCGGCGTGATGTTAGAAAAGCATGGTGTCCAGATCTTTGTGGGGCAGAAACTGCAATTGATTTCAGGTGGAAGAAACTACCCTTTACCACTGAGCTAATTTGTTCCTCAAAATTGAGAAGCAAATCAAATGTAACCATATCTGTCAACATTGGGATGTAAGAGTACGCCCGCAAACCCACCCACAACAAATCCCCAAATGACTCCAAACTCCTACATCTGTTTATTCAGAGCACTTTAAATAAAAATAGAGCTGAAACCTTTTTAAATTAAAACTTCAAATGACAGAATAGATAACATACATAATTACTGAAAATAAAATCAATGGTTTGGCATAATAAAATCTATGGCCTACAGTATATAGAAATTAAAGTATACTGTATATAAAATCTCATTCACTGTAGAATTTAAATACTGATTAAAGTTACTATAGTTGTTTAGTGGAAAGCAGCAAATTAATTTTTCCACTTTTTTTTGTTTGATAACAGAAGTAAGGCCTTAAGCCTGCACAGATCTAAAATGAAAGCATTTGATTACTTTTATAACTGTTTATGCTCATTTCAGATTAAATTAATTGCGTTTACAATTGAAGAAGCCAAGATAGATATGTTTACATATTCTTATGTGTATTTGTTTGTTTAAACACACACCAAATTCCCAAAATGACTGCTTTCGCTTCTCTTCAAATTGTATGTACAGAAGCCATTTGGGAAACAGTGTGGACGGACGGCTGTAATGGAAAGGAAGGGAATGTGGCAGTTTTTTATATTATATTGAATGTGGTTTTTATATTTATTTCAAAGTGTTTTCAAGAAATAAAGTGAAAGCATAATTCTCCTGAACAGCTCTTGCAATTACATCATTTTTGAGATCGGTTTCACTTTTCATAGAAAAATAACAAATATGGGAGAAATACGAGAAAATACTTAAACTGGATGATACCAGGATAGAATGGTAAAATGTGGGAGAATCCAGGGTTGACAGGCCAAGATTGAATATGTTTAACAAACTGAACTTATTACTAATTTCAGTTATTGATTATTTTTTTATTTTATTTTTTTTTGGTAAAGCTGCTTTGACACAATTTTAATTTTATGAAGCACTATGGAAATCAAAAAGGACATGACTTCAAGCGCTGATGTTTTTTGTCTTCTGGTCCTCCAGGATGGCACTAAGACGTTCACCCGCTCTCCTTCATGGAGGAAGATGTTTCGGGAGAAGGACCTGCGGGGTGTGACGTCTGACTCCTCCGAGACCCTGCCTGCTAACTTCCGTGCCTCAGCCATCTCTACCCCCTCAGTCACGCTGAGGAAGGTCCAGAGCGATGGTGAGCTGAACATCCTCCATCCCCACTGCAATCATGGGATTTTAAGGGTCACTGACAGAGACAATATTTGAGAATTATTTTATTAAAAACAAAATACTTCTTACTTAACTTATTACTAAAAATTACTATTTATTTATTGTTATGAAAAGCAATTGCTTAAGATCACTAGCATGCTATTGAACTCAAATATTTATTTAACAGAATTATTATAATTATTATTAGTAGTATTACTATTATTATGTTTCATGACCTGAAGTCCGTTCTTTGTATCTCACTTAAATGATCTGAAAACAGCGAAACTAAATTTAAAATGTCTGACTGAACTGATCTGGGATCACTACACGTACTTGTGATTGTTGTGATGGACAGATTGTATCGATCTTTGTAATCATGATCAGCAATGCATTGGCTGATGGCACATCAGTGTAAGGACATCATCTGACTAATATTCAATTATCCATGTCAACAAAGTTATGTAAAATTAATAGTAAACATTTTGGTAAATATAATACACAATAGCGTTACACATTTCTTGATGGCTGCAGGTTTTACACATGGGTATTTAGCAATTGATTTAGTTTTACTTTAGTGTATTTTCTTTAGGATCATATTCAAGTTTCTTAATTCTGTGACGTAAGGCATAACTGACTTTTTAAATTAAATTTGTATTAAAAAGCATTTTGATAATGCAAAGGTGTCTGCAACGTTTGCGAAGATTCATATTACTGCATGTTAGCTGTCAAACCAAAACAAAACAAGCAAAAAATAATAATATTGACCTATAAAAAGAAAGAAATTATGCTAAAACTGGGACGCCACCTTTAAAGTATGCACTTGTATTTAAAAAAGTCCATTTTGGTATCTTAAATTTAGCCTATAGATAGGCCCACACGGAATCTGCGCTCGCAGAAATTGACTGATTTTTAGTCCATCATTGAGTCTGTTTATTTACTTGTGTAAATGTGTGTACATTTAGATTTATTCATTTTTTAAATTAATTTCAGTAATCTTATTGACTAATAATAAAATGTTCATATGATTTAGTTACAGTTCAGTGTGTAAAGTCATATTTTCTGTCTTATAGTAGATATATGACAGACTTGCCTTGTTTACCACATAAGTGGATCTAATTGGATTTACATTATAAACATTAAATAAAAGTTATAAAGGTATTATTTTTTTTATTTAATATATTATGTTTTTAGTTATGATGCTCGCAAAGATCATTCCACATAAATCCTCAGATTTGTAACAAAATTCTCTGCAGAAATGGCAAAACAGGTCTGCTGATTCTGTTTATAGGCCACAAAGTAAATGTTATAAATGTTCTCTTTGAAGCCCTTGGGGAGGACCATCCTCGTGACAGTATTTCTACCTTTATTTTGCTTCTGATTTGTTTTTAATTGATATATTTTTACAATTGTATTATTTTCCCTAAATGAATACAGTATATAACCTATTGGTTACTATTGCGAGAAAATATCAGCATTCGGCACATACTTTCCGTATCATCTTTGCATGAAATGACACAATCTAATCCAGTTTATATGAAAAAAACTAGACCTGTTGCTATGACAACACCTCTCGAATTAGTTTTAAAGCGTGAAACTATCCTGGGTCGTGTCAAAACATCAATAACCAAATCCAGATAATTGAGCAATCCATGTACAAAGAATGAAACACAGGTCACAATCATTAATTTCTATAAGCCTTGGTGATCTTTTCTCTTTCGCATGGCACTAAAATATGAGAACGTTTATTTAGTGAATGCACAAAACTAACTTCAGATATTTTAGTGCCGATCAACTTTGTTAATCCATGAATCTTAAAGATTATATCTATATAGCATATTTATGATATCTTCAAAAATAATACAATAGACAAGTGATCAGTAAGCTGTCATTACAGTACACCACTCAACAGCAGTCATACTGTATATGGAACATAATGTGTAAAAAGTCAAGTAAACATTTTTTTCCACATAAATGCAACATCAGTTGATTAAAAAAGCTGTTATAAAAAGGGGAAATCCATATTATTTATTAAAGCAAAGATTACTGGAAGTAAATGACTATGTTAGAGATCCAAAGACTGTGGAAATCCCCGTAATCAGGTCTGAAATAACTTTATGACAGAGTGATGTTCTGTTAATGTTCAGATAAACTGTTTAGACATTGTTTCCTTATGAGAAGGCGATGCAGCAGGAAAAGCTGTGTAAATCTGTCCACAAATACATTTCACAACAAAATCCTGTCTGTCTTCAGCATCTCCAAGGGCAGAGTCTGGGTCAGTGAGGACCTACTCCTGTTGAGGGACTGCAGAGGTGAGAGAGACCTTCTATATTTCTACATTTGCATTATACCACATTTTAATAGAACAGTTATATGTTTATTTTATATGATTGTGTTTGGGGTCAGTTTTTTTTTCATGTCTTTTAAAGAAAATCATTCTGTTCATCAAGGCTGCATTTTTTAAATGTAAGAAAAAAAGTTAAATTAAGTAAATATATAAATAAACAAGTCATTGTTGCTTTGTTTAATATTACCATTAATAATAATAATACTCTTTATAATAATAATAATATTAATAATAATTCATATTAAAGTGGTTTCTCAAGGATCATATGACTGAAGTAATCAAGCTGAAAATTCATCTCTAAAATCACTGGAATAAATGATCAAATTAAATGATAATCAACTTTTGAACAGTTATTTTATAGTGAAATCACAACTCTACAATTTGTACTGTAATTTTGCTGAATTAAATGCAGCCTTTGTGAGCAGAAGAAGCTTGTTTTAAAACATTTAAAAATCCTACTGACCCCAAACTTTGACCAGTAGTGTGTGTGTATATATATATATATATATATATATATATATATATATATATATATATATATATATATATATATATATATATATATATATTTATATATACAAAAAAAGATTGGAGGAATCCGAAAATAAGTTCAATTACATTGGCATTTGCATTCATTCATTTAGCAAAATATTTATTCAAAACTTTCAAACATATTTATTCAAACACTTCAGATCGTTAAAATGTGACCTGTTGCATTTTTTTTTTCTTAGAGAAAAAAGATGAATGTGGCATTATTTCCAGAAGATAAATTTTTAAAACATTGGTTTCAAACTCAATTCCTGGAGGGCCACAGCTCTGCACAGTTTTGCTCCAACCCTGATCAAACACAACTGATCCAACTAATGAAGGTGTTTATGACTTGTTTTATGACTTGTATGTTTTGAACACCTTGATTAATTGAATCAGCTGTGTTTGATCAAGATTGGAGCAAAACTGTGCAGAGCTGTGGAATTGAGTTTGAGACCTATGCTCTAAAATGTCATTGATATTAACAGTAATCTATGTGCAGAATAAATCTTTAATGGCATACGTGGAACAATAATCATTTCATATTAGATTTGATGAAGACTCTATTTAAGGGTCAAAGAGTAAAGCTCAGAAAATACAAATGAATTGTCATTTTAAGCCTTTAAGTTTTTCACTGCTGGTTAAATGAAGCATGTTGAATCTGTTCTAAATAAGATAAATAAATGTTTCCCTGAAACATGGCTGATGCTTGATCAGATATGTTTGCATCCGGAAGTTTATGAGAATTATTTATATCATGTATTAAATTACCCAATAAATTGTATTTTATTAACGCCTACCACCACTCCAACCCTAAACTCAACCGTCACAGTACTGTACAATGTAATTTACAGTGTTACATAAATGATGCTATGTTAGGGCTGGGCCGATAATAATATTATATCGAGTCAGGATAAAATTTATGTCAATAACAATGATAAGCTCTGGACTATTTTTACTCTATATTGATGTAAGAGGCAATCACACAGGAGAAATGTGCAGCAATGGGAATCTAATAGCGTGTTGTTTTTAAATTTTCGGCCACTGATTAATGCCATTTAATGCACCCTATAATTTTTGTGACTTCAGTTATTGTTGTGGTACTCTTCTAAGTCTGTAAGCATTTACAGCTTATATTGAAATATATATTGTTATCGTTCAATACGGAAAATAATTATTGAGATTGCATTTTTGCCATACCGCCCAGCACTATACTATACTGATGTGCATATGCCCAGCTGTAGCCTATCTAGACTTTACCCTGAATCACAGAGATATTTGAAATTGAAAGTAAACACTTTACATGCATTTAACATACATTGTGTGTATATAACATTTGTAATGTAATTTGATGCAGAATCTAAAATTGGAAGTCTTGTTTTGAAATAAAAGTCACATGCATGTAGCCCACCAGACTTACACTGTCTAAGCCTCAAAAACATTTCCAAACTTAACGAAACTAAAGAGAGAAGTATTTAATGAAGGCTTTTAATGGGCATGTGTGGGCAGGGCCCAAAGCTTTGTGGTACACCACTGTCAATGATTACCTTCTGTACACACGTAAATCACCAAAATTTCACTCATTTACGAGTACTTTTAGCATTCCTCACAGAGCATTCTCCATATTTTGCATGCTCTTTGTGTTGTTAAAACATGTTTTGGAACAGACTTTGCTTTCATGTTTTCATTGTGATTCATTGTGTGCTTTTGATTTGTGTGCGAATCATCATCATCATCATCATCATCCTCATCATCATCAAGCCCACACAGAAACTCTGCCGGAATATTCACAAACACATCTCATCAGCAACTCTTAAAATAATTTAAAATGGCAACTATGATGAAAACATCTTTTGGGAGCAGTTTGGACAGAACTGTGTGCGGGTATAGTGTGTACACAGATATATTGGGGTGACATAAAGACAATAAGTCTCTGTTTTTTTAAGTTTCCTGACGTTAAAATGGAATCCTAGTCCCTCCCATTTTGAGGCCCACCGCAACGTGAAATAGGAGTGCGTTTTCTCCGCCCACCGAATTGATTGACAGACGCGTATTAACATGTCTCCATGTCTCCAACTTTCCTGTTTGTTTGTTTTATTGTGGGCTTTCCGCATAGTTCGGTTGCACAATTTTGATTGGGTAGAACAAAAGTGTGCTCACTCAATTGGATAGCAAGACTGTCACACACAGACTGCAGTTACACATTTGCTCTGCGTGGAGGAAATGATGTACAACATATATATTTCATATCACAGCCTCTTGTGATTCGCTAATAGCAACGTTTCAAATCGCGATTGTGATTTGATTTCAATTAATCGCACAGCCCTAGTATCCAGTCACATTTGCATGCAAAAACAGTACAAAACTGCGGTGTGTGTGAACTATGTAATGACATTTTGTGAATCATCATTCTCATCGACTCATTAACTTCACAACAAATACATCAAATAATCATTGGGAAAGTTCTTACGGTAGTATTTCTTTCAAACGTTACATAAGATCAGCTTTCTTCATGTCTGTCACTGTGCTGTTTATCTGACATAGCCCAGGCGGAGATTGAGGCGCACACTGGCAGGCATGTGGGAATGGTGGGCAGGGAGAACTAGCATTAAAGGCACAGGCAAAAAAAACGGCTACATTGTGTTCAGAGCAGAAAATCCAACATTCTGAAAGGTATAATAAATAATCTTATGGGTGTTCTGAGCTGAAACTTTACAGACACATCCTGGAGACACAAAAGACTTCTCTAAAATCTTGAAATTTGGTAAGGGGGTAATATAGGTATCCTTTAAAATGCACAATTCCTCTCAAAAATTATATATATGTATAAAATAAAATTTAAAAATGGATTCCATTTTTTTGTCAGTTAACAGATGGACCACTGCCTTGGCTTCACTTTGTGTATCGTGACGGCGTTGTAATTCTCTCTCTCGCACACAGGAGGCATCGTCGTCGGAAAGCTGGAACCGGCTTTACATTTCATTCACGGGGAGGAAGGGGGGATAAGCAGAACAAAAAAAGCAATGAATATATACATTTATAAATATAACTCTACTGGTGTGACCATTCTGCAATAACAGAAGAGGGATGGAGAAAGAGCAAAAAAAAAAAAAAATGAAATGACAAAAAGACATGAAGAATGTATGACACACATACGAGAGAGAGTGGTACGAGAAACAAGATGGTAGGAGGCATTGGATGACTGTTTAATCTTTCTTTCTGTCGTTCTCTCTTCTCACTTCCTGTGTCTGTGCTGATGGGACATCCGTAGATGAACTCTCTTGTCTTTCCGTCCTTCGTTTCTATGGCCCTTGATTCCTCAAGAACGGCTGCAAGTCGCTCTCTCTTGAGTCTAATAGCAACGGATGTTTGTGGCAACTCAACCTGGACTTCAGGGATGTTTACATGCGCGAGGGTTCAGAGGAAGTGTACTTAAAAGACGACTTCGCTGGATGTTTCTCAATCACGAGAGCGAGCACAAGCTGAGATAGAGCGCAGGGAGAGAAAGAGTGAGGCCGCAAAGGGCACAATTCTTGCTCAAGTACTACTAGGTGTTTTTTTTTTTTTGGTTGGTTTTCAAACCTCTTTTAGATTAAAGACGAAAGGTCCGAAAAGAGAGAGAGAAGAAGAGAGAGCTGATAAAGGGAAGCTGGTGGGTGAGACTGACTGATAGATGCTTGCGGACAAAGCAAGTGACCAGCAGATATGAGTCCTGACGGACAGAATCATTCTAACAACGCAAGCCATAAAAGACGACAAGACGTGGACGGAGGTGGAGAAACGGGGGGACGGGACGGGAGGGAGGGAGGGATCCGGGTGTAAACCAGTGAGAGAAATCGTTTAGCTTCTGTGTTGCGATGCATGTCAAAACAACCAAGACGACAACGAACTAAAACGTTCGGGGAATAAGACAAATATGAAGTTAAAAATGAGAAAAATTACGTGTACATTAAACATATGAGGTTAAGAGCTTGGGGAACAATTTGTAAAATTGTGTGTATTTTGATTTTGATTTTTTATTTTTATGATAACTATATTTATTTTCTTTATGTATGTATTGAATAACTGTATGTACATGTTCATTTAATAATTCTGACTGTAATTTAATTTGATCTAGTTTAAAGCGTAAATATGAGATATTCAAAACATGGTCATTAAAATATGCTACTTGTATGTGTACATTTTGACAAAACGAAATTGTGTTATGATTTCAAAACAAACCATTGCTGTTTGACGAGGATGACAGTGATTCGAATTGAAAATGATGTCTGCAAAATAAAACAATAATGATGATAATGATGAAAATCTAAATAAAATAAAGTGTTACTAATGGTACCGCAGAGTGATTTCGACGTTTGTGCATGCGAGGTGACATTTTACGACTGCAAATGGGTGTACTTACTGTTTTTTTATTACAAAACAAACTACAAACATATATTCCATTTTGTATTTTACTAAAGCCCCTCTTGCTTTTTCATCTACATTGTAAAAAAAGACATCCATATACAAAAGTATCTACCGTACAAAGATTACATAATACTTTGTTACAATGTGAAAAATGACATCAAACCCTGTGAACTGACATCCGCAGCTTTCTTAATACAGTACTACGGGGATTGGTCTACAGATTTTTTCATCCGATATTATTTTCTGACTGCTGTACATGGGTGAACCGTCAGTCCAATTTACCGAGGCACTTACGAGTTAAGCCGCGGTCACACTAGAGTTTGAGCATGCGAAATTCTGTCACTGCGAAAAGGGGTGGGATTAAACAAAATAATTTGACGCTGAAAAAAAGCGAGCGATTGGTCCATGTTTTACATTTCTGTCCAGAGAGGTCATGTTTTGATCTTCAAATCGTCTCACGCAATCATGTGATGCGATTTCGCAGGTCAGGGTTCACCAAGCTTGAACTTTCCGAAAAGCTGTGAAACTTGCCTCATGACCTTGCCTGTCTGGCCTGTTGCATTTGTGTGCGTATAAATGGAAGTCTATGGAGAGAAAAGTCCAGTGTGACCACAGCTTTATACTTAATCCCCACTAAAGGCAAATCCTCAATCGTTTAAGGCTGTTATAAATACACATATATCTGCATGAAGTATAGGTTTCACATATTGTACATTTATGAAGAAATATATTAATATCAAGTACTTACGCTTACATACTAATTCAAAAGTAATAACTTATTGTCTGTATACTATAGATACAATAAAACAAATGTAACACAATATAGGAAAAGTACGGGTGGGGGGAATCTATCTCGTTAATGAGGTTTTTTTGTTTGCGTGAGTTAACGCACTGGCCTAGTGAGACGTGGATCATCATAACCTCACTTACAATTACTTCAAACCTCTTATCACTTGAAGTAAAGGCACATAGACTTGAATGTTGCTGCGACTAGGAGGAACACTTTTGTGCAATATAATAGAATAGTCCCACCATCTAATTCCAAGAAGCTCTTGAACAACCAAGCAAGCATTTTTTGTTTTTAAAAGATGTCTAATAGATGTCTAAACATAGTCGCCTTGGCTAAAACAAGGCTAAATTCGGGACTAACCAGACTAGTCATCTATTAGATTTTCACTGAAATCCCAAGTTTAGCCTTGTTTAGGCAAGCTGACTATGTTTAGATGTCTATTAGATGTCTATTAAACAAAATTGTTTGCTGGGAACTGTAACTCAGTAAAGTCACTGTCTCACTACAGCAGCTTTAAAAACCTCATGTTGGGACAGTGCATAGCCATTTGCGGGACCAACCTGAACCAATGGCACTACGTGTTTTAGCACAAAAAACATAACAGTTCATATCAAACTTTATAGCTGATGTGAAATATTGTTCAATGATGTGTTGGCAAGAAGTTTGTGAATTCACTGTTAAAAAGTTTGTCTTGCATGCCCAAAATAGCTGCCCAGATGCATTGCAAATATTATGCCAATGTATTTACTTAAAGGGGACCTATTATGCTTTTTAAATGTTGGTCAGTGTGTAGCATGTATGTTTGGAAATAAAAAACGATCAACAAAATTACAAATCTCAAAGGTCGATTCTACTCCAAAGAGAGCTATTTAGCTTTATAAATATAAAGAACTACAAGGAACAGCACATTTGGACTACAAGCATTGTTTTCCAGAGTTTATGATGTCACAAAAATTCCACCAATGGAAATTCGAATGGTTGGTGGGGAGGGGCAAAACAACAATAATGTTGTAATTCTGATATGTCTTGATATATCCGAGCATGCAAATATTCTGCGCAATCCTCTTGACCAATATTCTCGGCTCCAATTGATTATTTTGTGAAAAATCTGATATTACAAATTCTCAAATATGTGTAAGTATTTAGTTTTTAAATGACATTTAATCATCATTAAGAATGACCATATTAGTTTATGATGAGTGACACTATGTTAATCTGCAGTGGAGAGATTAAAGCTGCTGGATTTACAACACGTCAATTCATCATCTTCTTATGAAATAGTGGCTTGTTTGACTGATAGTATAATTTTGGATTAACTATAGTACATGTCTGGTTTAACTGATAGATAATAGAGGAAACATTCTGATTTCCTAAAGAGTCTCTGTTGAGTACTCAATGACTATTAAGTAACTGTACATACAGTATATGGATTCAAATGTCTGCAACCCAAACCTTATATCATTGAAAACACTGGTAAGTTCTGATCTTTGTCTGACCCAGAACTAATTAAGCTATTTGTGCTGGGGAGAAAGGTATAGGGAAAAATCATGTGTTTTTTAAACCACCAAGCATGAGACCACATTCTAGCACACTGCCAAAATAGAGCACAATAGGACCCCTATAATAGGGATTTGAAGAAATAAATACATTTAATAGTCTTGTTGTGTGTTGATACGTGATTGTAATAACTGTTAATCTGCCAGGGTATCTGTATGAATTTGATGTATGTGATTGACTCTAAACTCCTTGAGCTTGTCCACTTTCAACCACTTCACACTTTTGTGGAAAAAAGTTTATACAGTGATGCCATACAGTTGCCTACAGGTCCTTTTAGGGCAAATGTAGTCAACTTTTTTCATATTGTAAAGCCCAATCTTCCTTCACCAGTCTAACTGACTTATTTATTATTAATTTATTTATTATCTGTTATTTTACAGACTCTAACTCAAAACCGCAGTATTCTCTATAGTTTTGTAAATAACAATAAAATATGCACATTATATTTTAAACATCAGAAAAAGGCAAGTGGTTGAAAATGGACAAAATAGTCAGCAGGTCAACAGGAATGCGTCTACCTTATCTTCTCGTTATCAACAAAATGCATCTAAAAACCAAACATAAACAGGGTCAAAAAACCCTGGTAAATTAAGAGAAAACTTCAAGCATCTTTTTTTGAAGGGGTATTCAGTAATGCAGGGGTGTCTCACTCTGCTTTTAGAAGGCCACTGTTCTGCACATTTTACTTCCAACACAATTGCTATGAACGTCCTAGTCTAAGGCTGGAGCTAAACTCTGCTGAACAGTGCCCCTCTGGGAACAAATCCAGACTCTCCTGATGGAATGCAGTAAAGTTCAGACATTTTTAAGAGTGACTAAAGTAATGAAAAACTTTCTGGTGCCACACTATCCTTTTGTGTTCCAAATCACTGCAGGTTCTGAGGGCAACTTAAAGGTAAAAAGGTTTTCATTTTCATGATTATCCCTCACTGGGTTACAGCAATAAGGCTTTGTCAAGTGATGTGTAGTAACATCTGGAAAGGAAGTATCCCCCACGCAGTGCACCAGAATAGACGCAGTCCCTTAAACACTCTTAAACATGTACATAACCTGTCAATCATTCCTTCAAGAAAGTCCATACTAACTGAACCTTCTGCCCTCTTGCTCTCCTCCCTTCTCGAGCGTCCTATCAGTGGAGTACTTTCCTCTGCTGAGCAGCACACAAACGCAGGAGGAGTTGATACGGATCCACCTCCAGCCTACCTTCATGTTGACATTCGAGGTGAGGGCACGTACATATGACTGTTTGGTTTCGCACCTGCTCATCCAGTGTTTTTTATCCACTCCCAAGCAGCCTGCCCCCTCCACCCCTTGCCCACTGCCGTTTCCTGACACGCGGCACCTTGTTTCATAGAAGTACTGCTTCAGTGGCGTAGCCTGGGTCGGGATGTAATCCATAATAGTGACATTATTTCCACGATGGTCCACTGCGGTTTTCTTCTTAGTCACCCACCCACTTTCGGCCTCACACACAGAGCGCTCACGGCCTTGTGTGTATTGGTCGACCTGTCGCTTGCGGCGGGCTCTAGGAACGTGGCCAGTTGAATCAGAAACACCCAAGAGTAAGTTCCTGTATGCCTCTTTGTCACCTCCGTGACTAGGTGTCGTAGAATCCATTGTGTGGCTTTCCCCATCCTCTACCTCATCACTGGCCAACAAGCCCAACTCCAGCATTAAGAGCAGAGGTGGATGTTTGGGTGGGGAAAGACTCGAGGAGAAGAGCACTCGAGGATGGGCGTCCAGCAAAAACAGCTGATCTTCTTCGATCCGAAAGCCTGGATCCATTTCAAACTCTTTCCCTTGTGGTTGAACTTCGTCCTGGTTGTCCTGTACAGGTAACTCAAGACCTTCAAGAGGTTTATTTCTTGCATTTGTGTCATCTTTAAGAAAAGTCTCAACACTACTTTCTTCGTGTAACTTTCTACGGTCAAGCTGGCCAAAACTGGCCTTTTCGACCACATTCTTTTGTGATTTGTATTTCCTATGATCATTCGTCCTGGATGCATCTTCTCTGGTAGTCCTATCTCCTCCACCTGTGTAGTCCTGCTTTGTGTTGTTGAAAAGGTTGTGCTGTGTTAAATGATTCTCTTGGTTTGTTCTACCCTTGGATATACGGTCACCCTCTGTTCTAGGAGGAGCTACATCAGGTGTGCTGTAGTTGTTGTCAGAAACAGCACCATGAGGGTGCTTGTCCACTGATGAGTTGGTCTCAGCTTTCAGGACACTGGTGCTGTTGCTGTCGTTTCTGCCAGGCTCTATCGTCGCGGCAACAAGCCCGGGCACAGGACTTTGAGGGAAAGGCAGGGCCGAGGCGATCACCATGGCAACCAGGGGAAGCCAGTGCATCACTCCCAAGACGTGTCAACTATGAATAGGTAAGAAAGCAAGAATTAAAAAGTGCACGAAAAATGAAATTACAAATATTTACTTCACAATGTAAGGGGTAACATATACATTTTAAGGATGTGTTCACACTTCTAGTTCAGTTCACTTGGTTAATTTGGTCCAAACCAAACATAAGAGGTATATTTGATGATAGAACTTATCGAACTTTGAAAATAATGCTGATAGTGCTTGTTGTTTGTACATGCAATGCTATTTTTTCAGTTTATTTTTCAATGTTGCTTCTATGATAGGAAAAAAACTGATAACTGGGACTGAGATCCACCCTATGTCAGTCTGCTTGTTTGATGTGCACCAGGTTTAGATATAAACTTTCACAGCAACACAAAAACAGTAATCTCACAAGAATTTGCTTCAACTGAACCTGAATCTGCCAAGTGTGAACACACTCTATGACAACCCTGAATCTGCCGGTGGATCTTATCTCTCTGTAGTTGTTAAACATAATCTATAATTCATCTTATGTAGACCTATATCTAATGTGTCTATAACGCCCCATTCTCATAGGGCGTCCATCTACTTTGAATGGGTGGCGTCAAGCGCAGATTAACTGAATTGTGGATACGTTGGCGCCGCTTTAGCAGCGTTGCTCGCTGCAGAAGTTGGGAATTTCTTAACTTTTCAAGCACCAACGGAAGCGTCAGCCAATCAGATTGCTTTATGCAAATACCCCAGTTCAGACATTAGCCGACCGCAGACTAATTTCATTGGTTGACACTGCTATGATAATCGCGTCAGCCCCAACTTCAGATACGCTCTCCATCAAGGGTTGAAACTAAAAAGTGTGAATCGGTGTTAGCCTACTTGTTCTTAGGTAACGTGTTTTGGCTGAGTGTAAGGATAGGTTAATAAATCTGATTCTACATGTTTGATCGAATGTTTGCCTTTACTCCTTTATTGTATAACAATATTGTACTCAATACTTTTATAATTATTATTGACTATTAAAATTATAGCTATAGCTACTGATTATTATATTCAGCTATTGGTTATCTCATATTTCACATGCATTTCCTGATAATGTTTACACATTTCTGATAATGTTTATTGTGTGCATATAGCCTGACATTAAGTGCGTATTGCCAAAACTACACAGTGAGCCTGATGTTTCATATTTTTCAATGATAAAAGGAGGCAGCTGTTTTGTTATATATTTGCATACAGTGGTGACAGCCATATAAATATGTACATGATGCCTCAACATTTTTGGTGTCTGTTATGTTTAAATTGTTAATATAAAATGAAAAGAGACAGTGCTTTTTGTCATGTTTTCATTTTATTGTTAAGATGAAACATAGCCAGGGTGAATGACATAAACGTACACTGATTTTACATATGAAGATTTACCCGGCGTGTCCTCGGGAGTTCGGTATAAAATTGCGAAGTCTGACCTTACAAGAAAAGAATCCAAGACTGAACTTTGAGTTCTTAAGTTTAAGAAAAAGCCCCAATCAGGTAGTTAATGTCTGCAGCCACGCCTCAGTTTTCAGATGTTTCCATTTTCCCCATCCACACAAACATGAAGCAGCAGCGTTTTAAAACAAAAACAGCCTCTTCAGCATTTCCAAAATGCTGTTTTCAGGGCTCAAAAACTCCACGGTAGTGTGGACGAAAGCCATAACTGTAGCAAAACTTATGCGTTTTAAAACAAAACCGTATTCGTGTAAACAGGGCCTAAAATACAGTAGCAACATATTTTTACTATATTCTTACAAATATTCAAGTGTAACTCATTTAGAAAAGAAATTCCATGAAAAGGACTTGGTTAATCCATCAGTTGTTGAATCTGAATCTTTGATGTTTAAGTGCACATACTTATGGGCAAGTCCAATTAATGTTTAGTTTCACCAGATGATTCACTAGGGGAAAAAATTATTTCATGCCAACTCCAAAATGGGAAATCGAGTTTTATCATGCTATAAAGTTGAACATGTTGGGGTAAAGTTGCACTGTGAGTGAGATATACTGAGCTAAAATTCACAATTACTGTTGTGTATGTCTATAGAGCACTTTGGGGTGGCAGCAGGATTCAAATGAACCACCTCAATACCGGCTTAATGAAAAGAAGTCAGAATAAAGCTGTTAAACAGAGCTTTACTGCTCTGGCGTACGCTGGTGGAAAAACGATGCAGATCTGCAGACAGCAGATTCATGTCTTTGTGTTAAAGATAGAGCGGAGCCACAAACATGCTTCACCATGGCTTGCTCTGGTTGGTCAGCGCAGATATGAAATCATCGGCTAGTCAACGTCTGGCAAAGCTCAGTTTGAAATAAAGCCACTAATAGTGTTGGTCTAGCGCTGGCCTAGTTTCACACGAGACCACAAACAACTCTGGTATGTGTGGAAAAGGTTGTAAATTTCACAGCTTATGAGCATGACTGAGGCAAACAAAAAGATGCCACTTTACTGCATGAGCCAAAGAATAAATTCCACTGCTCTGAGCTTCAAAAATGCATTCGTGAAATCGTGTTTTAATCTTTGTCTTGTACAGTTGAAGCCAGAATTATTAGCCCCCTTTGAATTTTTTTTCTTTTTTCAAATGTTTCCCAAATGATGTTTAAGAGAGCAAGGAAATTTTTACAGTATGTCTGATAATATTTTTTTCTTCTAGAGAAAGTTTTCTTTGTTTTATTTCAGATAGAATAAATGCAGCTTTAATTAAAAAAAACTATTTAGGGTCAATATTATTAGCCCCTTTAAGCTATATATTTTTCGTTAGTCTACAGAATAAACCATCATTATACAATAACTTGCCTAATTACCCTAACCTGCCTAGTTAACCTAATGAACCTAGTTAAACCTTTAAATCCCACTTTAAGCTGTATAAAAGTGTCTTGATAAATATTTAGTCAAATATTATTTACTGTCATCATGGCAAAGATAAAATAAATCAGTTATTAGAAATGAGTTATTAAAACGTTTATGTTTAGAAATGTGTTGGAAAAATCTTCTCTCCGTTAAATAGAAATTGGGGGAAAAATAAACAGGGAGGCTAATAATTCTGACTTCAACAGTAGGTTTGACCCGATGATCCCTAATTTAGTCATATCTGTAACACGACTCTCAGCAATGATGAGAATACCTCTGAGATTTGGGTTATTTATCGACAGGAAAGGCAAAGTTCTTCTTTAAGACAAGCTCCTGGCCTCGAGGCGGTGATTTATGTGTTTATTTAGTGGGGGTTAGAGTAAAACTACACTGATGGATGATAATCTCTCTTCCTTTTACTTTCAGCACTCACTTCTGGAAACACACATTCTGCCAACCACCAGGTGGAAGCAAAACCACCACATCTAAAATGATCAGATGATGTTGCTGCTTGTGCCATCTATCTGTCTGTAATTCATGGCTGCATTTCGGTGATAAAAAATCTACAGCAAACCAGTTATATTGTAAAATACTCTGCTACAGTTAGAACTGTTTTCTTTTTAAAACAAAATGTATTCCAGTGACACAAAGCTGCATTTTCAGCTTTGTTATACATATTTTCATAATTTTTATGTAGTAAGTTTAGGTGTTATGGTGGCTCAGTGATTAGCACTGTCACCTTACAGCAAGAAGGTCGCTGGTTTGAGTCCCGGCTCAACAAGTTGGCATTTCTGAGTGGCTTTTGTATGTTCTCCAAGGGTTTGCATGGGTTTTCTCTGGGTTCTCCAGGTTCCCCTTCAAAGACATGCATAGTATGTGAATTGGATTAACTAAACTGTCATGCATGTGAGAGTGTATGGGTATTTCCCAGTACTGGGTTGCAGCTGGAAGGGTATTTGCTGTGTAAACCATATGCTGGAATAGTTGGTGGTTTATTCCACTGTGGTGACCCCTGATATATAAGGGATTAAGCCGAAGGAATATGAATAATATGTTTATAACATCATTAAAAAAACATTGAACTCATATTTGTGACAATAAAACTTGCCTTACTGTAAATTTGAGATAGTTTAATGCATAAAGTGAAATTCAACTTTCTTGTAATTAGTACAAATATGAATTATAAGTTGTGTATGGCAAATCAAAATAGTAAATTATAGGGAGGATGCGGGGAGAACATGCAAACTCCACACAGAAATGCCAACTGACGCCTCCGCGGCTTGAACCTGCGACATTCTTGCTGTGAAGTGACAGCACTACCTACTGTGCCACCATGCGACCATCCCTTAAACACATCTCTTATAACCATTCAGGTGTGAACATATTATGGCCAGAATCAGCTTTACAGAAAATAATATAACATAACAGTTGCTATAATCGCTTTGCTCGTGTCACAGCAGCTCAAAACATGAGCCCATCACTCACGCAAGTCACACCAATAGAATGTAAAAAAAGAGGTCACCCCGCATCTGGATATATTGTGATGCGAGCGCATCCATCAATCACGTCTCCACAAATCATTTACCTTCTCACGTTGTGACTGTTGTCTGCTATGTATAATATACTGGTGCACAAGTGCGTCTTCCTCTGCTTGTAAACTCCTAAATGCCCTGCGATCTGTTCATGAGATCGGCCAGAATGGCGAGTACCAATCGAGTCGTTAAATGTAATTATTTGCCAATACCGATCTTCAGCTGATCGATCAGAGCATCCCTAGTAAATTGTTAGGAACATGCTTTTTACATTTCAGTGTACTGTAAATAGCGATTCTATTCACACAATGTAAACAGTGCTGTATTTTCTTTGCCAAATCTGTAGTTAGATGCTATATATACTTAGTGGAAATAGCAAGACTACATTATAAAACAGGGCACGATGATACCCTATATTGAACAGGAATATTTATCAAATGGATGCCACCTAAATGGCACAATAAAGTCCTCCAAACCTCCAACTCAAACAAATGTTACTGCCACATGCTTTAAGCCCTACGCCACTGCTGCCATTGTTTGTATTTCTCGGTGTCCTATTAAACATAGGAGTTCATGTTAACCTTTGTGTGCTGTTGAGGATGTTTTCATCCTCTCTGGGGTGATTTTGAGTTCTAATTTGGCCACAACTTTCTCTGTGTAGGCAAATGGAATGATTTTAGGTGACAAACCTGACATTTGGACTCTTTGAAAGTGTAAAAAAATAAAACAATGTTGAGCAAATTTACTTTATATCGATATACTTTTTATATCGAAGTTAATATTTAGCTGCACCATGTTGGTGTTTCATAACATCAGATTTTTATGAGGTGGGTCGTTGGCCCAACGGTCAACCCCTAACCTCGAGGACCGGGCAGGTTTACCCTTTCTTATGTTTATGGCTGTTTTTGCCCCATTGACTTCCATTATAATGACATTTTTGATTGCAAAAACATGACACCATATTATCATGCATTCTTGATTGTTGATGTTTTTTTTCTGTTGGAAAGAAGTTCATTTCATTTTCATCCGCTTTTCTGGGGCTGAGTCGCAGGGGCAGCAGTCTTAGGAGAGAACTCCAGACTTCCCTCTCCCCAGACACTTCCTCCAGCCCCTCCGGGGAGATCCCGAGGCGTTCCTAGGCCTCTATAAGGGTGCACCCTGCCACCCTGCGTCGGAAATTCATTTCGACTGCTTGTATCCAAGATCTTGTCCTTTCTGTCATAGCCCAAGGCTCATGACCACAGGTGAAAGTAGGAACGTAGATTGACCAGTAAATCGAGATCTTTGCCTTTCAGCTCAGCTACCACAACAAACTGATACATCAACCGCATTACCGCTGCTGCTGCACCAATCCGCCTGTCAATATTGTGTGTGTGTGTGTGTGTGTGTGTGTGTGAGAAAGAGAGACCTTTGTGCACTTATCTTGATATGTCTGATACAATCAAAATAAGCAGCTCAGCTCTCAGAACATAGTAAACATAGTAAGTGCATGTTTACACCCTATAATCTGCTGTTTTACTCCATATAACTTTTGTGCACAGGCCTATCAAAAGGGTTAATGCTGCCAACTGATGATCAACAGTGAAAATTACACATTTTACCTCCTGACAACAGGGTAAACCACCAACAATCAAGAATGCATGATTATGTGCTGTCATGGCTTTGCAATCAAAAAAATGTCATAATAATGGAAGTCAATGGGACCAAAACAGCCACAAACATAACGAAAGGGTAGTCAATTTGAACAGTACCCAAAGGTTAATAACCTCTGTCAGCTATTTACTACAATATGTTCAAAGTACACAAAAAATAAATCAACAAACATCAAAAATATCTGTCCTAGAGTCTACCATCTTCTTACTGATGATACAGTGAGGGACGTGTCCAATGTTACGGACAGGTGTAAATCACTCAC